AGCGCCTAAACACCAAGTTAAACTCACCAAAAAGGTCACTAAACAGAGCGGGGACAGTTTGGACAGCAAACTAAAGTAGGGACAGCACCTAAACAATGATGTATACTCACTAAAATGAAGTAAACAGTGCAGGAAAATAAAGGACTGCAAGCAAAACAGAGAATAAAAATTTAATATGCAATGGTATGCTTGCAAACAAGCTTATGAACGGTTAATCAAGACTCCTAGGAACTTCTAGCACATGCACAACATGCTTACCATGCTCTGATACCAAAATATGATGTAAAACAAACATGCGAAGAGTTGCTTTGGGATTGTAACAATAAAGATTGAATTTGCGCATTGCTAATTAGTAACTCATGCTTCAATCAAGTTAAATTCTTAGAACTTTTGGTTGGAATATTAGATAATGGTAAGCCGTTACAAGAGGTTAGCAAGACCGTTGCAATAACAACAAAATTAAATAGTAGTACTAATAGCAAGTAATCAAGAATCCACAGCGTAACATCAAGACATGGTCACTTAGAGGTCCTACTCACTCAATCACTCTTAGGCTTTAGCGGATGAAGACGAAGCATACGATGAGAGAAACTGCCACTAGCAAGATGGTACCGAAGGTCTTTGTTGATGGAGAGGTAGCCACGGACAGAGAAGGGGTAGATCTCCCAATGAGAAGCCAAGGCGTCTTAGGTTTTTGGAGATCGATCATCTTCGCTAAGCAGTAGAGGATGCGCTTGACGTATCTTTCCACCGATTCGTCATATTCCCGATCAGGCTTGTAGAAGGGGGAGATGAGGATGTCGATTTCCCCTCAGTCGTTGTAAGCGAAGTCGTGATCGACCTCAGGATCGGCCATGCACCATAAGCATGAGGAGGAGAGAACACAAGGAAGAAGACAAAAATAGAGAAAAGGGTGGTGGAGAGGGAGGCAGGCGGCTTGAATAGGAGGGAGAGGGGTGGGGACGGCTTGGATAGGTGGGGAGGAGGCTAGGTTTTGTAAACATTCAAATTTAATAAAATAATAATTATTTAAATATTCCTAATAGTCATTCAAGCTTACTCGCGAACTTGCGAGTCGAGCCTCATCAAGCTTGAACTCGAGCTCGAACTCACGAGCTCGTTATTGAGTTGAGTTTGAGCCGGCTTGGCTCACTTACACCCTAGGATGGACAATAATTGTCGATCAGAATAGCAATTTAGCCTTTGGAATTTGACATGCTAGTGATGAAGTTCATGGATAAATTCTCCCAAAGTTGCATGGGTATGGGAAGAGGAGACAGAAGACCAAAGGGTGCCATTGTAGAGGATTTATGAAGGCCAGGCGAGTAGGAATATGCGGAAATCTGTTTGATGGTTTTAAGGGTGCCCTGATGACTTGCAAGAGGTGTAAAATGTTATTTAGCAAGCAATTGATTTCTTAGGGTAGAAGTTTTACTGATATAAAATGCATCATTTGTAGTAAAGAATGTTGTTCTTGATTTGATAATTCGTGGCTCTTAGTTAGTTGTAAAGTAATTTGAAGTATATCCAGGGAGGTAGTGTTTCCTACTTCAACTCATTGAAGAAGGAAAAAAGAAAAAATTGTACTTAATGAAAAAAAAGAGAAAATGAGAGGAGGTGTTTGTGACTCATTGATATCTAGAAATAGTGATGAAGACTTCTCAACTGTATTTTTTTGACCCTATTTATATTAAATGCGAAAATGAAACTTTAAAGTTTAAGAATGTAATATTGTTGATCCAGAGTTTAAGGGATTTGTGTTTGGAGTTTGTGAAACCTTTTATTATCAGTATGTATTACAAGTTTAGTGTCTAATATGTGTTGACCCCATTTACAAACCGCTTCTATTGACTGAGATAAAGAAAGAAATTGGATGATTATAACAAGTTTAGTGTCTAATATGTATATAATTCTTTCAAATAAGTGGATGATTGAGATAAAGAAAGAAATTGGATGATTATTTTATAACAAAATAGCACCAGTACGGCAATACCAACATTAGAAGCATCTTTCTTAATAATGAAGGGTTTTGTGAAATCTGGTAAGGTTAAGATAGGGTTGATGTCGTAGCAAGTTTTTTGAGATCAGCTTGGATGGTACCAAAAGAGACAATACGACCAATATATTCAATCGAGGATTGACATAATTGGCATTTGTTTAATAAAAAAGTAGTTGATTTGCCAATAAGCAGTGAAAGACAATATGAAGATATAATTTAGATCTAGAGCAGGATAATATATCAGGATATCATAAAAAAAATATGATAACAAACTTGCAAAGATAAAAATTGAAAACTTGATTCATTAAAGATTGAAAAGTATACAACACATTCGTTGGGCCAAAAGGCATAACTAGGAATTCAAATGACCAATGTGAGTACAAAAAATAGTTTTATGAATGTTTTTTGGGTGCATACTATATTGATGATAGCTCGAATGAAGATCATGCTTAGAGAAAAGAGAGGGTTCCTATGATTCATTTAAGAGTTTGTCTACTGTCGGAATAGAAAATTTATCTTTGATAGTCAATGCCTTGAGGGTTCTATAATCGACACAAAAATGCCAAATTCCATCACATTTTTTAACAAAAAACACATGGCCAGAAGAATGACTATGACTGTGATGAATAATCCCAAATTGTTACATTTAAGGGCATATGTTAATTGTTTTTGATAGTGTTGGAAGATTAATACGATTATCAATTGTTTAAATTGCCACAACAATTTGGAAATGGAGCATGGTAATTTGTTTGTAATGGAGGCAAGGTTTCCTTCCAAAGGATTTTAAAATGGTTAAGCATCTGTCTAAGCAAATAGTGAAAATTTGTACCAAGAGAGAACGTGATAACAAGCTTGGAACTGATGGAAAGAGATAGGATCGGCTAACAATTGAGGTTCATCGAATAGCGTAATATGATAATTTTAATCAGAAAATTGCATATCAAGATTGTTATAATTATGTAGGATGATCCTTAATGATTGAGGGAAAAGAACCAAGATTGAATTTGCTGGCCAAAGCATTTAAGTTGATTTCCTGGGATAGATGTTCAATATTAGAAGAAATTGGATCCCTGACCATTATGGGCCATCCATTCCAAGTAAGAGATAAAATTTATTAGGGTAGCAGTGTTGGGGCTCAAATTTGGCATCACAGTTCAAACAAAGTCTTTTTTCATGATGAAATTGGATTTTCGTTGGTGCAAGTTTGTGAATAGGGTTTGTGGATGGTTTATTGGTAGTCGATGTTGTAGGTAGAGTGGGGGTGGAAGGGTAGTCGAAGGTTGGTGGAGAGGTTGGCATGAGAAAAGGATTGGGTTTGCACCAATGTGAGGAGGGGAGGGAAAAGAAATATTGAATATTAGTTATTTTATTTCTAGCCTCCAACAAGAATTTGGAACCTTGAAAGCAAGATTTTCAAAAGTCATTTGCTATTCAAGAGAAAAAGATTGTTGGGTTAATTTAGAGAGGTTTCCATGTAAATCTTTATAAGAAGAAACCAAATTATTGTTGTAATGATAGCATGCATTCGAGCCAAGAAGAGTTTTGATCTTTCATTTGTATCCATTTGGCTGGGCCGTCAAGAAGAAAAGATGCAATTTGAACATGAAAACAATTCGTAGTATTATGAAAATTGAAATACTCATGTGCTTTATAGATCCATGTATCCACATCGAATCCATTAAAGTGAGGGAGTTCAATTTTCATTGATTTAAGGAAGGGTAAACCTATAGGGGACAACTGTGTTGTTGTGAGGGAAATTGGGTGGCTTATCCTAGGAGGCCGACGAATGAAAGGGTTTCTTGATGGATAGGAGGAAGTGGCCGGTCAGTGCACTAGTTGTTGAGGCACTTGTTGACAGAGTCCATAAATAGTTGGAATTGCTGTAAGGTTGTGCAGATTGAAGCGAATTGGACATTAGCTTGTTGAAGGGATTTCCAAATTTCAGAAAATTGAAATTCTTTATTGGTTTACATAGAGCGCAAGGTTTTTGCCAAACCTGTATTCTTCATCCTAATTTAACGGAAGTACAGGTTGTTATGCTTCTTGATGGATCAAGAAGGGTAGGACACCTTTCGAGTAGATTTAAACTCCTTGAGAGCAAAAAATGGAAAAGAGAAGAATATAGAAGTTTATTTTCTATCCATAAATTACAGCAGTTTGGACTATTTAAAAGCCTAATTTGGCTGGTTGAACGGATTTGCATGAGTGCTGGACTGGTCGGCCATGTACTAAAAAAAAATAGAACTATTTATTTAATAAAAAGGCTTCAGCATGAGTTCAAACTGCTGAATCGAGGGCAAGTGCTTGAGGCAGTTGCTAAAGAGGAGTCCTTTGTTTTGTTTGGCTTCCTTCCTCTTCAGTGATAGCCGAATATGTTTATTAGTGTCTTTAACTTGTTCTTCCGAGTTCTTGACCCAATCGTCAAATTGTTTCTGTATATTTAGATCCCAGTGAATATATTGGTGCTTAACATTGTCATTTACATGGGTTAAATGGTAGCCCTACCTATTTAACTCCCTTAAATGCGAGTCATAAATGTGATCCATGACTGAAAGATGCTTTTGAAGAAGAACATATTTTATGGAGTAAAATCATATTGTTTTCTATATTTAATATGACTTGCTCATGATATGTCAGAAAAAAAGACAAAAAAGTGAAAATATTTTAGAAAATCATCAGAGATTAGAATGTTACCTTCATGAGGTGCTTTATACCGGGATACCAAGCAAAGGCGTCATTAAGGTGCTCTCCTTTTGATAATGAATCTTTTTTTAAGGCTTTAAGGCATTTAGTTGGTGTCTATAGTTGTCATGCTTGAATGTTTGGGCACTATGGAGGCAGTGCTTCATTAGAGGAGGTTAATCTACATTTGTTTTTGCTTTTATGCAATTTGAAATGTTTTTATTACAATAGAGGCCGATTTCAATTCATTTTAGAAAAACTTAAATGCTACATATTTTATGTTTTTAATCGTGTATTCTTCTATTATTATGATATTCAGAGGGAGGCGTTACGTCCTACTTTATTGGGGAGACCAATATTTCGTCATCCATCTACGAGGATGACGGCCCGAGCTCGAACAGAAAATAGAACTGGCCGTATAAGGAGAAACATTAGCAGGCCTACCATGAGTTTGGAAGAGGTAACTTTGTCTTTTATTATTTTTTTAATCAGTAATGTTTTATAGAATTTTCATTTCTAAAAAAATTGTATGCTATGTAGAATTTCTTGTGCAATGAGTTTTTTTCTTTTCTTTTCTACAAGCACATATAAATGTTTTTACTCTTATCTAACATTTTGTACAAGAATGCCAGTAATTCCACCATGAAATCACATTGTATCAATTGTTGTTTAAGCATGTTTTTTGTATTGCTTAATTTATGCTATATAACTTGTGACTTTCTTATCCTACACGACTGTTGACTTAAAAAAATTTTAGAACAAAAAAAAAAAAAAATCAAAGCAGCATGCCGACCGGGATGGTTTGAAATCAATGACCTGCGCCGTTGATTTTTAATCCGGGCAGATCTGGGCCGTTGTATCTTAGATATGGCCGGGATAGTTCTAAAATGAAGACCCCACGCAGTCGATCTTAGATCCTGGTGAGATGGTTTGAAATCAAAGACCCTACGCCGTTGACCTTAGGTCAGGGTAGGAAGAATTACGACAGTGCCGTCCCGATTTCTCCCTCGGTGGGGAGGTGATGCCGGGAGGTTGCCAAAATTTCAATAAAAATATAAAACCTTTTGGAACAATTTTATAGCAATTAAATTTGAATTTTTAATTAATCAGTAAAAAAATTTGATTAAAATTATTCAATAAAAAAATTGATTGATTAATTAATTAGATAAAATTCACGATCTGTTTAAAATACGAGCAATTTAAATCCGAGAGCATTTGAAAATCCAAAAATTTTTATAAATATGTGAACATTTTAAATGAAAATTCTGGACTTAGGAATTTTAAAATGTGAGATCAAATTTTTACAAAAAAAATTTAGAATGGTTTGTATTCAAGAGCTATCAATTAAAATTTGAGAATACTAAAATTTAATGGTTAATTAGAGCAATTATAAAACAAATGCAATAAAATGAAGGAGGAAGAGAAGTTTCCACTAAATGACATGTACAACTTTGATTGCTAACTCTCCAAATCTCTTGTACAAATTGCTCTACAAAACTTTCAAACTGAACTCCTCTGCAAGTTCTCCTGTACGAGCTCCTACAACTACTTGTGGATTCTATCCCCTGAACTGCTGCAAGCACCACTTGCCTACAAACAAACAAAACATGAGTCAGTACATCATAAATAAATTCAATAAATGCTGAGAAACATAAGCTACGACATTTAGAATGAAGTACTGGAAAGCAAGAAAGAAGCTAATAGTGTAACGTGCTGAAAAGACGGGTAAAGAAGTGAACTACTGTAGTATAAAAGAGACTACGAGCACAGAACGACTAAAACACTAATAAAGTGTCAAAACCCCAAATTCAGACCAACTCACAAATCTTCCAAACTCTCTAAGTAACAAATCCTAAACAACTAACATATTCTCAACAAACACACAATCAAATTCAAAATCTTTGGGCAGCTTGATTTATAAGAATTAGGTTGTAAGACCCACTACCCGGCAATTTTCGTAGGAAAGTCATAAGCTCGACCTTAAGGAAAAATTTTAGGTTAAAGTTGACCTAACTCCTAATCCCTAATTAAAACTACCCGGCCACTTCTAATAGAAGCCATAAGTCTGACATTTGAGGGAAATGTTTAGGTGATGACACAAACCTAAACCCCTCACCCGAGCATCCTAGTCTATAGGGCTTGGTTATAAGACCCACAACTCGGGCCACTTAGCTTACAGGGCTAGGTTGTAAGACCCACCGTTAGGCAACTTCTAAGGAAGCCATAAGACCTATCTAACCAAAATTCTTCTGGCAACTCCTAATTGGAGCCATAAGCCCCAAACTAAATAAATTAACGGGCAACTCCTAATTGTAGCCGTAAGCCCCAAACTAAACAAATTAACGGGCTACTTTTAAGTGAAGTCGTAAGACCCACATCTTAAGAAAATTGTTAAATAAATAGCAATGATCTTAAATCCTGAACAATCAAATTTAAACCTGTGGGCTTCTTAGTCAAAATGATTAAGTTGTAAGACCCGCTTTTCAGGCTACTTCCTAAGGGAAGCCATAAGTCCTACCCAAATAATTAAAATTCTCGGACGGCCTCGCTATAGAGCTAGGTTGTAAGACCCATCTTTGGGCAACTCATAAATAGAGCAGTTAGCCCCATTCCAAATCAAATCCTCGGGCTACCTCTAAAAAAGGCCGTAAGTCCCACTATCATGGCAACTCCTAATTGGAGTCGTAAGTCCCACTACCTGTGGGCTTCTTCAAATTCAGCCACCGGACTCCGGATCTTCTCCCTTGCTACTCAAATTCATCTAAGAATTTTGACGATGGTGAACTCTTCCCCAAGTTTCCTATTTTCCTAGTTTATTTTCAGTTGTGGTTATATTTTGACTCACAAGGTTCATGTCAAGCTCTTCACCGCTAAAGCCTAGTAATTAGAAGAGTTGTGTGAGGGATCTGTCATAGCCTAATCTTATTGTTAGTTTGGAATTTCTCGTTGAAACCACTCATGTATGCAAAGTAAGATTTATTTGACTATTTAATGATCTCAACCTCTCGCATGTGTTTAGACCAAAGCTATTTTATCACCTTATCATTTTTATTTTGTCGTTTATCATCAAGAGAAAGCTTATAATTATTGTTCTCTAATATTTAAGCGTGCAAACTTCCTTAATTTAATCATCCATGCTAATACGTTTCACATCAATCAACATATGAAAATTTGTGTTAAGAGAGAGAAAGTAAGTTGAATTTGTCTATTATGACTTGTGAGTGGACCACCCATTAGAGTTGTGCAAGTGAACTAGAGAAAGATGAAGAAGGTTGCATTAGGAGAGAGAAAGCTTAAAATGGTACTCTTCATGTACTCCTTTACGTTCCATTGGTTATGTCAATGCCCTTTGCCAATGAATCTTTGCCTCAATTTTCTCACTGTTTTGTTGTCATGGGTTCAGGGATGTTGGTAAGAGCATAGAGGGAGAATCGATCTGACTAGGTGATTGTGAGGCTAAGCAAGGATGAGAAGAGGATCGAGAGATAGGGAACTTGGGTTGTTTGGGCTTGATGGAGAGAATGAGAGGCAGATAGAGAGCGTGGGAAGGAGAGCTTTGTATGGGCCGAAATAGAGAAACAAAGAGTATGTTTTCGTTTTAGATTTTTTTTTCAGTTATTATGGCTAGATGGGACTACATGAGGAAGGACTATAATCCTTTAAATGGGAGGTGCGACATTTGAGATTTCTAATGGAAAGGGAGAAGGTTGAGTTGGGGAATTGATTTAAAAATTTTTAATTAAATTTAATTAGATTACCAATAGATAATATTAATGCGTGAATTGACCTTCATGCAATTTCTTGTTGCTTGTGTTTGTCTCACGTGCTGGTAAATTTTTTGTATTTTTCTCGTGTGGCGACCCAGAAATATGAGCATCTTTTGCTAGTTAATTGGATTTGTTGACACATTCTATTTTGTGAAACATGCAACATTTGAGTTGTTTGATATGTGTGCCACGTTTTGAACCGTACTTGCATGATATTGAGTTTTTTGTCCACCATTTTCACTTTATTCAATCAAATTAGTTTCAAGATGGTACTGAGGTTAATAATAGATAGAAAAAACTCAATTTATGTTAACATGATGCTAATGATGAAAATATCCATCCAATAGAATATATCCATAGAGAGCTCTCATTTATGGCCCTTTGCTTGTAGCAAAGTGTGGTCCTTTGCTTGTAGCCAATTGTGGTCCTTTGCTTGTAGCCAAGTGAGTAATGGATAATGATGATAAATTTTTTTCTTATTTCTTTGTCTCCTTGAAAAGATGATATGTAATCGCCTAGCAACTTGGCCATCAATACTTGGTAAACTATCATCTGAATCAGAAAGTTGCTTGGAGTCTGAGGCCTTGACATCCTCAATATTAGGAAGGGAAGGAGGGGCTAACTCATATGAAGGGTCTATACTGATGTAATTAAAATATCCTTCTTCATGCTTAGTTCAAGAAGGGGAGACTCAAAATGCCCCGATTTCACATTATCATCCAGAATTCGTTTTAGATTTTATTTGCATTTTTGAATTGATGGTGGAATTACATCCACTACTAATGCGGATAGATTTGAATCATTTGAATGCTCTCCTTACTCTGGCTGTTAGGATCACTAACTTGTGATTTTCTCAAATTCGGATGAGCTTAGAAGTAATCAAAGTACTTATGCCCAAATATTTTACTGGGAATGTAGTACAAAGGACTGGTTTCAAAAACATGTTGCCAATAACCTCAAAAAGAGGAGACAATTCAAACCTTTCTTTTTAAAGGCATTGTAATATCCATTTCCACCAAAACCCTTATCAGAGATGATTTTAAGAGAAAAGCGGTTGTAGCATCAACTCATAAGTCATAAGGGTTTGTCAAAGATAGAATCCAAGGAATATAATATAAAGTAATTGAAATAGTGATCCTGAAGCCAATAGAAAGAAATTTAGACCGGAGTCATTGGAGGGTCCATATATGAGTTAAAGGAGGGAGACCACTTTAACATACATAATAAGAATGGCTTGAAAAGTATATAGTAATTTTTTCTACTGAAAATCTATTAATAATATGACAAGAATCAATGAGTTCAATATAATTATAATTATAATATTTATCCTAACTGGAATTTGTATATTAATTAATTATGTGATAAGCTAGAAAAGCTAAAATCTATAAAACTAATTTTTTTGGTATTCTATTATAAATTCCGTTCCTAGAAAGCTACTTATCAGCTTTCATGCGTCTAAATGTTTTGCTCATAGTTACACCAAACATCTTAGAATTGCTTCTGTTGTTCCAGGAAGCAGAAATAGTCAGTTGAAAGCTATTACAAATTGAGCTTAAGTTTTTTTTTTTAACCAAATTAAAAATTGGGTAACATTGTAAGGAGGGTTTCTTTCAATTTATTCATAAGATAACTATAAATGCAATTGTATCCTTATTTATAAATATAGGTTTGATGAATAATTCAAATTAATTTAAATTTAAATATAAGTAATTCCTAAACATATATAAATCATATCACAATAAAATAAAAATAATACTAATGAAAAGGATATTTCTAAATATTTCTTTTCTGAAAACTTAATCCAATAAAAAAAATAAAATGCTAGGAATAATCCAAAATTGCTAAAATAATACAATCTAGTTTTAGTTTGTCTTGTACCACATTTACTCTATCTGGATGTTAAAACTCTTCCCATGAAAAGTCATGCAGAGGAGATGGTGGTGGAATTGGTTCATGAATCGCTCTCAAATTATGAGCATGCGTAGTCTGAATAAAGGAAAGACAATCTAGAGGCTTTGGATCTTATGCAATTTTCTTAGATCACAGCTAGGTAAGAGGATCTCATTGCCATATGGTAGTGATAACATGAACTTGACCAGTATTTTTGGCAGGGAAGCAAGCAACAAATTTGAAACATGCGGAACAGGCAATGTATATGGTGAATAATCCTTGGAATATTGCTTTGATAACGAAACTGATGTAGAGTCAGGAAACTTTTGATGGTATCTTGATTATGCGCCATTGTTTATAGATCCTTTATATTGAATTTGCATTTGATTTTAGCTTCTTGAAGTCTACCATTTGGATGTGAGAGATTAGGTATGATTTGACAGCTGATAGGAATTTCGAGGGTTTTAGGGATTGAAGAATCAGAAGAGTAAGATACAGAGAGTCGTTGGATTAGTACTGAATCTGAAATTGCATTAGTAGAGAGTGTTGTGGGAGGGATGAGGATAGAGAGAAAGAGCTAATCAAGGGGAAAAACACGGATTCCTTTTATTATCCCTTTTTATAGGAATAGAGTTATATGAATAATTCAAACTAATATAAATTTAAATCAAGGATAAACTCTAACAAATAGATAAATTTAATCATCTAAATAAAAAAAGGTAGACCTCGTGAAGGGATAATTCTCATCATTTCTTTTCATGAAAACTAAATAGAACAATAAATATATAAATATTCTAGAAATAATGCAAAACCACTAAAATAATCTATAATTGTCTTGATACATATTATGTAATGCATTGATAACAGCCTTATGTTTTGATTCTTTATTGATATTTGCCTTTTGATAATTGCCTAGCTTTGCTGTTGGAGTTCTGTAATTTTTTTTGAAGGATACGTTTGTGGTGGCACACATGGTACCATGTATGTGCTGATACACACTAAATAGCTCACCTGCATGATGATAGCGAGGAGACCCACTACCTTCACAAGCGTTCCTTGAGCTCTTTTCAATTTTTAATCACATTTGGAAATATGTTCTTGAATTGGTTGACTTTTTTGTGTTCCCTGGAAGTGAGGGAAGCTAAAGAAAAGCAAGCATGATATGGTTGATCATGAATCCACAATTATCAGTTTAGTACATTAAACGCCACCCTCCCATACCAAACTTTACCAGCAGCCTAAATGAACAATTTATATCCCAAAAAACTATTTAATTGGCAAACAATCAGCAATAACATTTCATGCTTATTAGATTTAAAATAGATGCTTGTTTTATTGTTTCTGAGCTATTGCTGATCCTGCTATAAACTTGTTACTTTCTTTAACTCTCAGTTCTTAAGGGTTCCTTCTTATTGTTTGGTCAGAGTTTAGTATCACTTCTGTTAACCATATCATTATTTTCCATTTAACATTTTTCTTTATGAGCTTTGTTATCCATTTGGTTAATGATGGAAAATCATTAGCATAATTGCTATGTTTAAGCTTTCGCTTGATTAAAATATCATCTTTTTAATTTCTAGAGGCTCGACTTTCTTGAAGCACTTGAAGCAGCATTTGAACATGGTAATGACATGGAAACTCCTGATCATTTTCTTGGCTTCCAACGTGATTTTAATGAGTAAGTTGCTTATATTTATGGCATACTCTATATTTCTTCCGGTGCTGTTATGACATTTTAATTTCTTGGGTAATTATGCATTATATTTGTCTTGTGAAAATGAAATTATTAACTGTTCTTTATATTTATTATCCTAGCCGCATATCTGTCTCTATCAGATAAGTCTGCTTGTGCTCGTAGGTGGCCCGTATATTTGCAGGAGAAATCTTATTTGAGAATTGAAAAAGAAATGACCTGGATTTCCAATCTCAGTTCAGAGCTTTTCGATACCTGCAATATTTAAAGAAAAAAGAGACAAACAAATCTCATTCCAATCGGAAGTCTCTTTCTACAACCACGAGATAGCATGGAAAGGCACACTTATAAATGAAAACAGTGAATGCACATGAACTCTCGAAAGAATATTATTCCCATGCAAACTTTCTTCAATGAGAATGGTACAGAGTAATCAATAACGCATATCTACATTTTGTGCGTGATATTCAACCATAAGAAACCACAGCGATAGTTTGAATGAACAAAAATATTTTTGAATAGAAATTTTACAAAATTCAGAATATAGCTACTTGAATGCATAACATACCAAGTCCTAATTTAAGCCTTTCGGTGTGATTGGGACATGGCTGGTGGACGTGAAGTAGTTTATTTTAAATGATTGGGTAAACTCTCTTTTGGTGCTATGTTAAGCGTAAATTATTGAGTACAGATATACTTATTGAATTGGAAGCAGGTGACTATGTCTTCATATCATTTTGAAATCCTTAAATTGCTGGGATATGGGTGATTTTTGTGATTATGGGACTTGATTTTGAATATTGTGCTGCCTGGCTATTGTCTTTGGAACAAAATGTATGGTGTTTAAGTATGATATCTCACTTTATCATGATTCAGGTTTCGTTTGGAACGGCTTTATTCCTGCTTCTTAAAGCAGTTTTTTAGTACAACAAATAAAATTTTTATAATATAAAGCTACTTTAAGAAGCAATAAGAAAACAGTCCCAAACGAAGGCTCAATTTAAAAATTCACTCGGACTCTGTTGACTTCTTTGAAGGTAAAGGACTTGGGAAAATGAAGCTCAGAACAAGAGATTAACTGTTCATCTGTTTCTCCTTTTTCTTGGTGAAACTCATTTTACTAATTCTCTAACTAGTTTATTTTCATATTGTTGTGGATACCTCAACTTCCCTTGCTGTTTAGAAAATTTTCACATCATAGTTGACCGGGCTCGAGCTTTGTAGAATCTAATGTTGATTTTTTTTTCCTCACTCTTTGCTGCAGCTTTACTTTGAACCTTTATTAGGAGAGTGCACCATTCTTCTCAGTCAAGCCTGCATATGAAGCATTTTAATTGCTTTCTTTGTACTGTTTTACAACTGTGATTGGAAATGGGGAAGCATTTTCTGAACAAAGTTAGAACATTGAAAGTATTCTTATAACACTATGTATTCATCGATATATATGGCATATATTGTAGTTATGCGGAATTCTGAGGTGTTATTATGAACCATTTGTAGTTATTTAATGGTCATCCATCCTCTATAAGACTATAAGTCTATAACAGTATGCCCTCATACATTTTATTTCATCTTTACTGGTTAACATGAAGAAACTATTTATTAAATGGTTTTTTTAATGATTTCATAAAAAAGATATTAATAGGCATCAGCTTGTGTTGTTTATAGGGATGATTATGAGATGTTATTGGCTCTTGACGAGAACAACCACAATGTTGGTGCATCTGAGAGGCAGATAAACAGCTTGCCTCAATCAGTAATCCAGGTTCAATATTTATCCTGCTGAGTTAATTCTTTGATAGTGAGGTATCAAAAGTGGTCTTCTGGTCGCTTTGGCTCCAGATGTTAACGTTGATATCGTTTTTATTTATTTATTTGAGCAACAGAATACTGATTCTGAAGAAGCTTGTGCCGTTTGCCTTGAGACTCCTGTTGTTGGTGATGCCATCCGTCATTTGCCATGCTTGCATAAATTCCACAAAGATGTAAGCGGTTTTTCCTTCTTTTCACCTGAATCTTGCATGTTAGTTTTGCTGATGCAAACTTAGGGGACTGCTTAATGTGCTACTCTTGCATTTACTAAGTGATTATTTTCATGACTCAAACTTGTGACATCCAATATACACTTAATTTCTGTTTGTGGCGTCTTTGTAGAAGTAATTGTAGAATTGTTTTGGGAAAAAATATATATTTTTGAAAATTTTCTGTGGGTATTATAAACTGACTTTTTTAAGAAAGAGAAAAGTTTTCTTATAGCTATCATTCTAATAATATTAGCCTTCGTTTGGGATGACTTTCTTGCTGCTTCTTAAAGCATGTTTTTTTAATATAAAAAAGCCGCTTTCAGAAGCAGCAAGAAAGCCGTCCCAAACGAAGCCTTAGTTGTAAATTATATAAATTTTTTAAAAGCAAAAAAAATATATAGTCAGGCTTCGTTTGGGACGGTTTTCTTATTGTTTCATAAAATAACTTTTAGTACAAAAATAAAAATTTTTATAATAGAAAGTTGTTTTAAGAAGCATTAAGAAAGCTATCCCAAACGAAGCCTCAAGCTGGTCTAAGGCAACTTTTTGGAAAGCAAAATTATAAAAAAACTATTTCTCCTTATATAATTTCTCTTTTCTATTTTGAGAGTTTGAATAACTCGAAATGCTTAGGTTGATATCTGAATCTCATCATGGAGAGCACCAATGATGCCTTGAGGTAAATTCATTTGTTGAGGATATGAAAGCATCATTGGTGCTCTACATAAGAGCATTAATGATGAGATCTTGATCTCATTTTAAACACTTCAGGCTCTTCAAACTCTCAAAATGAGAAGAGAAGAGAAATTAGATAGCAGGAAGAGGGAAATTCATTTGTTCCTTACATATCCTCTTCATCTCTTTACAATGTATATTTATAGAATATTCAGGTAACTCACTAACCATCTTTATCAGTACTAATTACAAGAATGATTTTGATATGCCAAAAGACTTCTATGCCCTCACTTAAGTAAACCCATGCAAGAATAAGGAGTGGGGGTACTTTGGGTATTTTTGAACTTCCAAAAATTATATCTCTTAATTTAAGCGAAAATGAATACAAGTCCTATATACCAAATTGATCGGAATTTTACGCTCAATTTTATAAAATTATTCCCGTCAAAATCCGACAACATTGAAATTTTCACTTAAAACTCGTCGCGGCGCTTTGAAAAGCGTGCGAAGCCTAAAACGACGTTTTCGGGTTTTACAAGCACCAATGATGCAATGAGGTAAATTCATTTGTTGAGGATATGAACGCATCATTGATGCTCTACATAAGAGCATTAATGATGAGATCTTGATTTCATTTTAAACACTTCAGACTCTTCAAACTCTCAAAATGAGAAGAGAAGAGAAATTAGATAGCAGGAAGAGAGAAATTCATTTGTTCCTTTCATATCCTCTTCATCTCTTTACAAGGTGTATTTATAGAATATTTAGGTAACTCACTTACCATCTTTATCAGTACTAATTACAAGATTGATTTTGATGTTAATCACATATTACTATATAATTACAATTTTATGTTTTGGATTCAGACCACAATTTAATCATTGATGTATGTCCACTATGTACCAAATTTCTTTCATCTGAAAATCGAATTTTGATCTTTTGCTCACATTTTTTTATTTTTTTTTTCTAATTTCAGTGCATTGACACGTGGCTTAGGAGGAAGAGATCATGTCCAATATGCAAGTCTGGCATCACCTGATTAACTTCCATTAACTTCATCAGATGTTGAAGAAAAACCATAGCTAGGAAGGGCCTAAGCAATTCAGTAGTTAGTTCAGTCAGCTTCAGCTTGCTGATTTTTTCTTCCTCAGTGTACTTATAATTCCTTGTTCAGTCTACAATATGGGTTTTGGTTTTTATATGTAGCTCCTAAGTAGTACCAATTGGCATATAACTGGAAAGAGAGAGAGAGAGAGAGAGAGAGAGAGAGAGAGAGAGAGAGAAGTTTCATTAATTATCTTTTTTACCTCTCTTATTTTTTCTCTCCCCTTTTGTTTTATATGTCATTGGCATTTGAGGAGTATATTATATATATTTTTCCTTGTTCAGAGTCCTGATATGAAAAGAAGAAGAAATTAGATTGATTGACTTACCATTGGTTTTCATTTTATTCTCCACAACGGTTTTGGTTTAGATGTTACAATAGATGGAAAGATTGTATGAATAATGCCAGCCAATGTGCTTTATTCTTTATTGAGGCTTTTTTCATAATTACTTGATGAAATATATATATATATATAAGATAAGATAATTCTCTTATCATGTGCGGACGCCGAACGCAACTTATCGTCTGGAGATGAATCAGAATGCGTCACGTCAGTAGTACCGAGACGCGATAACGAGCTGGGGTGATGTGAAGTGAAGCATTCTGGTTGGTCTCTTGACGGCGTTCGGCGTCTGCACAGAAGGTAAGAGAGGTTGTAGTACAAATTTGGAAGGTGATAATAATGACACAATTGGGGCTATTGTACATGTCTGCAAAAATGGTTGCATCAACAAAAAAGGTTATGGTACAGGCCTTGAAAATTATGATTATGATGCTTGCAAAGATACAATACAAGCTCTAAATAAGAGAAGTACAAAGCAAGTGAGATTGGCATATTTGTGGAAGGAGGCATGCAACTTTCGAAACGAATATTGCTAGCAAGATTGTTGTATATGCCTCGAAGAAGATAGCTGCCTATAGGTTATGAACTTCTAAACATTTTAGAACATGAAGAGAAAGAAATTATAGATTTTTCAAAGGGCATTTTGATCATTATCTAAATTATGATAGTATGTTCCCTTTAGACAGAGAGAATGAATGGTGTATATCATACCCTTATGATTGATGACACCGGGATCTAGTGACCAGTTCCAGATGATCAGTTGCTTCCGATCAAAATGTTGTAACTTTTGATGTGATGGGAAGGGAACATCGTCAATGGAGTGAAGTCGAACAGCAATGACGAGAAAGATGAGATGAAAGAGCAATCGAGCTCCCATCGTTGCTTCCGATCAAAATGTTGTAACTTTCGATTCGATGGGAACTAGGAAGGGAACGTCATCCATGGAGCGAAGTCGAACAACAACGACGAGAAACAAGAGATGAAAAGTGCAAGCGAGCTCCCGTCGTTGCTTTCAATCAAAATGTTGTAACTTCCGATCTGATGGGAAGGGAAAGTCGTTCGTGGAGCGAAGTCGAATTGCAACAATGAGAAAGAGGAGATGAAAAGAGTTTAAGAGCAAGCAAGCTCCTATCGTTGCTTCCGATCAAAATGTTGTAACTTCCGATCCGATGGGAAGGGAACATCGTCCGTGGAGCGAAGTCGAACAACAACGCGAACGTCATCTGTGGAAGGGAGAAAGTTACCTTCACAGCGATCAAGCTCCTGTGGTTGCTTCCGATCAAAATGTTATAACTTATGTCGTCGAAGGAGTGAAGTCAAACTGCACCGGACTGAAGTAGCCGAAGAAGCAACTCATGCAATCTCCAGAGTGGAACGAAGCCAAACAACAACAACAACAACAACAACAACAACAACAACAACAACAACAAAGAGAAGATAAAAGCATGCGGGTCAGGTTCGATTTGAACCGAACCCGAAGCAGGTCGGGTCAAGCAGTCCCGAGTCAATTCGGGATAGAACCGAACCCGACCCATGACCCAATTTTGACATCCCTATGGGTATCAATTTCGGGTCACGGGTCAAGCTGGGGTTGAACCCGAAATTGACCCGACACTATTCAGGTCAACCCGAATCTGACTCGTTTATTTGCAAACGGGTCAGTTTTTCGGACTCAAACCCGGCCTGCTTAGGGTCCGGGTCAACCCGACATGATTTGAATGACTCGGGACCATAAAAAATTTGCTAGTTATCGAATAAAAAAAGGGTCAATCTTCGTTTTTCGGGTCTAAAATGGGTCAATCTAGGGTTTTCGGGTTAAAAATAGGTTTTCAGGTCAAAACAGGTTAATTTCGAGTCAAATGGTCAACCTGAACCAGACCCAATTTTTGGTCAAATTGTTAAACCCGAACCCGACCCGTTTCGGATCCGGGTTGACCCTACCTCAAAATTTTTGGGTCGGATTCAACTCAAGTTTTTAAATCATGTCAAATATTGACACCTCTAGTTAATGGTCACTTCTCTCTTTCTACATGAGGAAGCCAATCATTCGCATGGGGAGCTTGGATTAAATAGGCATTGGCCAATTTGATGTGATGGAGAGGAGGATAGAGTGAATGTAATCCATTTTTATTCTAATCTTCTCCAACTACCAATGCAGTTGCATATTATTATTTATATATATATATAATAATAATAATAATAATAATAATAATAATAACAATGAAATAAAAATGAACTTAAATAAACTCTTAATTTTGAGTCTCTTTTATTTAAAATCAATTTTTTTAACATGGTACATAAAATATTAAAATATGATAGATGATTTTTTTTTTTTTTGAAAATTTTGGGCAAAGCCCGTATATTAATCACTAAGAGGAATTACAAGTAAGTAAAAAGCAAAAAATGCCCCGAAAAAAAGGAGGGAGCCCAAAAAAGTAAAAACCTATAGAATAAAAACAATTATCAGTAACAGGATATCAAAAAAAAAACAGATCAAAGACCACAAAAAAACCAATCGGAGGCAGCAACAGATCAGAGAAGTAGAGGAAAACACGAACATAAGCAGCTAAAATGCATAAAAGCATTTGTGTCTGGACTCATATTAGATATATAGATTAGAAAAGAAGTAACTGCTGGTTGCTCGAAGACTGTCCAAGGGGCGCCTGTATAGAGGGACTCATCATTGTCCAAGGCAAAATCCCACAGGCTGAATCCCACAGGAAATAACATCATGTTAAGCGGCAGCAGCATATCACAGGGTCTCCCATTAGAGTAAATCCAGAAGAGATGAGGCCTGCTTCCATTTGATCACTTTCTCAAAAACTGCTCTTTTAATATTGATAATGATAGTAGCATGACTATTGAAATTGTTCCCAAATCTCCTTTCATTATGTTCTTTCCAAATGAAATAAATAGAGCAGCAGACAAACAATAGATATAAGTTTTTAACCGACTGCTGAGAAGAGAAGGTGTCACAACAATTAAAGTCACCCATTAGGATCCAAGGGACATCACAATCAGGAATAATTTGGGAAATTAGAGCCCAAAGAGACAATCGGTCTGCATTGTTGTTGGAGGCATAAATTATAGAAAGTTGGAAAGTAGGAAATGTGGAAGCCGATATAGCTACCGAAATAATTTGCTCATTAATAATAGAGGGCTGAAAAAGAATCTTGTTTGCATTCCATCACCCATATGCAACCCGAGGAAGATAAATCAAAATTGTGACAACTGTTTTCAGAAGAGAACACAGAATGAGAGGATTTAAAGAAGGGATCCTGAAGAGAGGATGAGTGGACTCGGTCCTCCAAAATGCACATAATATCTAGTTTGTAAGAATCAACCAGACGTTTACAACACATCACTCTATCAAGGCGGTTAAACCCCCTGATGTTCTAGACAGCTATGGAAGGCAAAACCCAGTATGTGAGGGAGGCTTTTTGCCTGGCTTCCCTCGGGTCTATTTTTTGTAGAGTAAGAATTTGAAGACTGAGGTAATTTCCCTTTAGGATTTGGGGTATTATCAACCGCAACTAAGGTGTCATGTGTTTCAGAGCTAAAAGAGGAGTCCTGCTGATGTAGGATATCAAATTTGTTGGGTGACAGAATATCAGAAGGCGGGATGACATTCTGGCAATGCAAATTGGTTGTTGAAATGGAGCCTTCTTCAGTGGGAGAATTAAGGTTGGGGATATTTGAAGGGGCAGTTTCCGGGTTAACTACTGGATGATCAAGAGGAGGGGATGGATTTGGTTATGGAGGGGTGTATTTTACTTTGGCCAGAGGAGAAGGGGAGTGTGGTTGGTATAAGAGAGTCTGTCCAATAGAATTGGTGGTGAGGGGCAACTGCAGGATAGGAGGGGCTTCCTGCAATGAAATGGGTTTTTGGGGGGATGTTCTCAATCTGCGGTGGAGGAGGACGACGGTTCCTCGCCTTCCTGTTGAAGCTTCTGCCTCTAAAAGGGGGTTCTTTGGAAGTAGCAGTAGAAGCAAAACCAGATGCAACACTAATCAGCTTTGTCGGGCAGAGAGAGGAGTAGTGTACTAAGGACTTACAATGCTCACATGGGGACGGTCTCCATTCATACTGCACCTTCAACCGCATAATATCTCCGTGAAGCGACACCAGTATCTCCTCTGGATAAGTAGCTTCACTGTCTACAAGCACACATATTCTGGTGTAGGTTAAACGAGTTCTTTGGGTGGTCAAGGAATCAGCCTCCAGAGGGACTCCGACCTTGCTTGCGATTCTAGAAATACCATCGGAGTTCCAGCAAGCCAGCGGGAGGTCATGCATCTTGATCCAGATCGGGACAGAGGAGAAGTTCTCCTTTTTGGGTTTGAACTTTGGATGCCATTTTTGAAGGATGAATGGCTTACCTAAAAGGAACCAAACTCCTTTTGACCACATAGTGTCAAAATCTTCCGAGCAGGAGAAACAAAGCAGGAAGAATCTATCGCTAAGGGAGAGGAGTTGAAGCGATCCCTTGAGGGCCCAGGTTTTTTTCATGGCTTAGAGTAAGGCTTCGTAGAATGGTCTTCGGCCTATGGAGTAGCCGACTAAACACAAGCTCCAGTCTTCCGATCCTTTGGCCAATTTTTCACCCGAAAAAGGTATGACTTCCGGCTCTGAGGGATGAAAAGAAAAGTGAAGGTCTTTTGGAGATGGGTCTGCAGGGGCAAAAATATGTTCCCAAAGGCGTTGCAGAGAGGAAGGCACTCCGCCAGTGGAGGAGGGTAAAGGGGAAAAATCGGAGGGGAGAAGAGGGGAAGCCATGTAGTGGTAGACGGTCCTCCGACAGAGCCGGAGGAGCAGGGAGAAGGCGGGAACAAAGCAGCACAGCAAAAGGAGGGGAGCAAAACCCTAACACTCATCTAAGCGGGGAAATCACTATCTTTGCTTGATGAAATTTATTTGGTAGTAATTTATGTGAAGTGACATACAAGAAGATAAAATAGCATGAAAATAGTAAAATGAGAAAAAAAAAATCTCATTTCCTTCTCTTTTGTTTTATATATATGTCCGGAATAATCTTCAATCCCTGGTCCGGTAACGGCAGTGGATCTAGCCCGACCCGACGAACCCATACACGAGGAATATGCCGTCTTCCATTCTCACGCTGGAAAACGCACGCGCTTCTCTCTCTCTCGCCGTTCGCTGTACAAAAGTTGCGATTATATCAGTAGAATAGACTCCGGTGCACCTTCTGATCCCGTTGCCTCTGGCCACAGACGCCGACCAGCGGAACCCTAAATTTTCTCTTCGGCAGGTCAGATCTGGAAACGGAAACTGCCGATCTCTTAGCTGCTGTTGGTTTCCTGTGCGCTTCTGCCAATCTACCCTTTCAAGCCAAGCTGTTCTGCGATCGTAGAGGTAATGCCGTCTCAATCTTCTTCTCGATCAGTTCTTATTGGAACTGGAAAGACTACCCATGTTCTCGTTTATCGGGTTGGATAGCGAGACAGCGGTTGCCTCACGGATCTTTGCAATAGTGTGTGTAGAATTGAGCTTGATTTACCGCATCCTAATCTGGTGGCGGTTTTGGGAATTTTGGACCTGTCTTTGATGCTGAAACGTAGTTTATTAGTTTTAGATTTTTTCTGCCCTCTTCCTATGCATCCTTGTGCTCGTTTTGCAGTGGGATCTCCCTGGCTAGGGATTTGGCTGCCGTGAGGATTGTTTCCGTACCTTCTTTTGACGGTGTTTAGCATTGGATGCTTGAAGGGATAATTTGAAATTATTCAAAATTCAGCGTCCGGTTTCAGGGGGCGACCTGCCCCAGGGGGTTGAGTTTGCGCCCTTCCCTCTGGCTCGAAGAGTGAATTCATCGCATTCCATTCTGATGGATGACGACGTAGAGAATGGAAGTCTGGTATCGTACCAGGAGAAAGCAAGGACATTTCCCAATTTGCGGAGTAAACCTTACAACCCCTTGGTAAAGTTGCTGATCCCTAAAGGGTTTTCCTATATATTATAAATTATTGGTTACTTTTTTAGTCGGTATATTTCCTCTCATTCTAGGTTTTTTTTTTCCTCTCATTCTAGTTCAGTTGAACTGATGTTGTACTTTTGATGTGCTATACAAATTGAAATGTAAAAACACAAGTTGCTCCCAAAGTCAATCGATGTGCTCACGAAGTCATAAACTAACTACACATTCAAATAATGATTTTTAGACCACATTTCTTATATAAATTAAAACTTTATTTTAGAAAGTAATCGGAGAGACTCTCAAACCTCAGATAGGGGCCAACTGGGATTAAACTGATTAAGAAAATAAAAGTGGGGTTAATTTATGAAAAATCAGTAGGCTCCATGGAAGCTTAAAACAAGCAAAGAGGGTGCATGGTATTGGAGTGAGACCTAATTCATGCAAAATGAGTAAAAACAAAAAAAATTTGAGTTCACCCAAATCATCAGGGAGGCTGAATGTTGCAATTTATTTAAGTTTCAATAAAGTTAAATATAACTTAACTCCATAATTTAAGCAGTACAAGTTAAGCTTGCCTCCAATATTCAAAAAGTATGAATAAACTATAATTAACTCCAGAAATCAAGCCAAGCATGGAGAGAATCTAGGCTAAAATCAAGATAAATCTCCTTAAAGGAGGGGTTGACCAATCAGGAGGGAAAAAAAAATAATATATATATATATATTGCCCAAGCAGAATAATTCCAAATAATATTATATCGGGTATTTCATTTTAATTATCAAATAAATGTAATAAGCATTTCTATAAGGACTTGGCTTCTCAAATAAACTATCATGAGGGGATTGAAATTATCTCATTTTTCTATTTTTATGTTATATTTGAATTTTAATGAAATTTGTTATTTTCTTTTTTAAGAAATTAAGTGATTATAAATATAACTTGTATTTACTTTTTAAGATCGTTGGAAACCAAGTGGAACACATTTTCATTCAATTGACAAGAGTATTTCTTCCTACTTTTTAATCTCTCTTTTCAAAATTTGTTTGCACCTCGTGTTAAGAGATAATTGAATTATCCACCTCTTATATCCCTCTGTGTTTCTACATTTAGGTTTGACCATAGTAGGGAATCCAAGAATCATGCTATTAAGAGATAATTGAATTATTGACCTCTTATATCCCTCTTTGTTTCTACATTTAGGTTTGACCATAGTAGGGAATCCAAGAATCATGCTATTATGGCCACAAGTGTCCATTTAGAGGAGCTATGGAGACACACAAATTTGTTATTTATTAAAAACCTATCAACAAGGAATAGAGGAAATAAAAAAAAATTATGATAACCATTCACAATTTACACCATTAAGATCTCTTTCTCTCTCTCACTCTTAATTGCGAAAATCTCATAGAACAATTACTAGTAATATTTTCTAAGTTTTTTTATTTTTAATTATCAAATAAATAAGATTAATATTTAGATAAGGACTTCTTATCAAATTTAATTTGGATTACAATTATCTTATCTTTTTTAATTTTTTGTTAGATTTGAATTTTTGATAATTTTTTATTTCTTTAATAGGGAACTAGATGTCTAAAAATGTACTTTATAGCCAGGCTTTAAGATCAATGGAAACCAAGTGGGAAACTAATATTCAATTGAGAAAACCTAAGCATTTGGTATTCATTTCTTCATCAGGCTGAGTATTCCTACAATACTTCCTTGCATACTTCCATCAGCATGATCCCATTCCAAGCTTTCTATTGATGGCTGCCTCCTTCAATTCAGCCTTATGACGACCACTTCTCCATGGTGGATGTTATCAATGCTCGGCTTCGATAGCTTGATGGCATCCTTCAAAATGTCTGCGAACATTTGCTTCAGTCCTAGTAACACATGAAGAATCAAGCTGACAAATATTGACATGATCTGGAAATGGAGTCTATCATTCTCGTCAAATTACAACCTTACTGTCAAACTTCGACAAACAAATGACATTACTCCGGTCTTGACCGCCTTTACTTTTATGTCCATTCAAGGTCCTAAAGCGCATCAATCTAGTGGCATATCACCTACCACTTGTACTCTTCCAAATCCATATAGTTTTCCAATTTTCTATCCCAAAGCCATATGCTGAGAAAATGAACCTGGATTGCTTGCACCTTCTCAAGGATGCATGACTAAATCATCCTATCGTTTTCCTTATGACAATACTCAACACATAACAAACACTCCTAGGCAACACCTACTCCAATAGGTTGGCCTACCAACAATACTCGGCATGTACCAAGAAAGCCTAATTTACATAAAAATTATACCAGTTCCATAGCACTCCTCATCATTAATTTAGTGTTAGTTTGATATCATAAAACAACTATGTTATTGTCTCTATTTGTTTCGAGATCAGAAAGTTTGACAGAAGAACAGAGAAACCAAAGCATAACTAGTTGAGGTTTTTTTTTAATGGGTTATAATTTTGATTTGCAGGTTTGTTGGCGTAATGTTTTTGGTTGAGTTCACTTGCAGCCAAAGCTACAACACTATATTAATTCCTAGTTTAGCACCATTTTTTTAATCACTAAATGTTGAGATTTGTTTTTTATCAGCAATGTTAGTCCTTTAGTCTCCTGCTATTTTTTTAATTCAATCATTTTACTTATTTTAGAATGTGATTAATTTCTATCATAGAATGTCTGATAGAAATTTGCTAATTTTTGATAACTTTCTGTGTGTCACGTGAGATTTCTGTTGTAGAGTTATTCCTTTACTTCTTCTTATAAATATTTTTATTTATTTATTTTCAGATTTTTCAGATTTTCACGAGAATAAATGGACGAGTTTTAGCTGTCTTGCTACTGCTGGCCCTAGGGGCTGTGCTTTATGTTGGAGCTGCTACTTCACCTATCGTGGTCTTTGTCTTTTCTATTTGCATAGCTGCCTTCATTTTCTCAGTTTATTTGACAAGATGGGTTTTAGCAAAGGATGAGGGCCCCCCTGAAATGTCACAGGTTCTAAATATTTCATCTCACATTTTACTTTTGTGTTATTGCTTCTTGGTGCTCCATGTGTCATACTTTTTTTAATGATTGAGTAACATTGATGATCTCTTCCTTTGTTGAAGCATGATGTGTTTGAGATTTAGGGGTGATAGGTAAACCACCCCAGCTCCATCGGAATATTTCATCTCACATTTTGGTGTGGTGGGGGTGAGAAGAGGGGTGGCAGGTAACCCACCCCATCTCCACTGCAATCAAAAGATTTTGGGGGACAAAAGCCTCGTTAGTGTGGCTAAGAGAGCGAGGGAGGGAGAGTGTTGAGGCTTCAAGTTTATCATGCTTCTGAAAGTGTTTGTTTTCTACTAATTCCTATTGAGAACATTTACATTCCATTATCATTCCTATTGACCTTGAATGTTGATTATCACGTGCTATTGTTTGTGGAACAATAGAGGTTGCTTCACCCTTAACTAATACTCTTATAAATTGGGGGACTTTGTGTAGGAGTTCTCATTAGCATGTTGAAACGATTAAAAGTTGTGTCCCTATCTTGTACCTGAAGATTAGTTGAAATTAGGCCAAATTTAGAAGCAAAACTAGTGTTAGAAATTGCACTTTTATTGAGATTACTGGCAATATCACTCTCCTAAATAGTCTCAAAGCGTAAGTGAAACAAAGATTATGGTTTTAGCTAAGACGCATCACCAGCTAATTTGAAGGCCAATTATGAATTAAATCATTATAGTGAGAAAAGAATCAAAATGATCCCTCAACTCTAAAAAAAGAACGTTTTTGTCATCTCATCAAATTTTGAGGTTAATGGTATTCAATCAAGGGGTATTTTAGTCATTTTCTAAATAAATTATTAGTAGAACCGAAGTTAGAGAGGCTTTAAAGAAAATGAAGTGTGGAAAAGCTGTTGGACATGATGATATCCCAATAGAAGTGTGGAAATGCTTGGGATAAGAAGAAATTTATTGGTTTACTAAACTTTTTAATATTATTTTGATAACTAAAAAGATGCCATATGAGTAGAGAATGAGTGTGGTGATTCCTATTTTTAAGAATAAATGTTATGCACAAGATTGTGTGAATTATAGAGGAATTAAGTTAATGTATCATACTTTAAAACTATGGGATAGAGTTATGGAACATAGGTTGCGGCGTGATACTAACGTTTTTCAAAATCAATTTGGATTCATGCCCGGTAGGTCTACTATGGAAGCTATACATTTATTGAGAGGTTTGATGGAGAAGTATAGAGAGAATAAGGAGGATCTAAATATTATATTTATTGATTTAGAGAAAGCATATGATAAAGTTCCAAAAGAAGTGCTATGGAGAGTTTTAGAAAAGAAAGGGGTTAATAATGCTTATATTCTTGTCATTAAGGATATGTATGTAGGAGCTGTTACTTGTGTCCAGACACAAGGTGGTTTGACCAAGTATTTTCTTATTTCAATTGGATTACATCAAGGATAAGCCTTAAGCCCTTATCTTTTTTGCTTTAGTCATGAATGTTATCACTAGACATTTGCAAGAGGTTGTACCCTGGTGTATGCTTTTTGCTTACGATATTCTTCTTGTTGATAAGACTAAAGAGGGAGTTGAAAGTAAACTTGAATTATGGAGATCAACCTTAGAGTCTAAAGGCTTTCGTTTGAGTATATCTAAGACTGAATATATGGAATGTAATTTTAGTAATAATAGTTCTAGTGGGAGATTGTGGCTTTGGGTGATCAAGTAATTAAGAAGACTACACATTTTAGGTAGCTTGGGTCTATTGTTTAGAGTGATGGTGAAATAGATGTGGATATTATTAGTATAATTCAAGTTGGATGGTTGAGGTGGAGGAATGCATTGGGCTTGTTGTGTGATAGAAATGTCCCCTCAAACTTCATGGAAAATTTTATAAGATGTTGGTTCGACCTGCAATGCTTTATAGTGCAGAATGTTGGCCATTAAAATAGAAGCATAATATTAAGTTAAGTGTTGCATAGATGAGGATACTCAGGTGGAAGAGTGGCTTTACTCTTAGAGGCAGGCTAAGAAATGAGCATATACTTGAAAAGGTTGAAGTAGCTCTAGTGGAAGATAAGATTAGAGAGAGTCGCCTTATATGGTTTGATCACATAAAACGGTGGTCTTTCGATGCCCTGTTAGGAAAGTAGATATATTAGATTTGACTTATGTTAAGAAGGGTAGAGGTAGGCAGACCTAAAAAACTTAGTTAGAAAATATTAGAAATAACATTTCTTTATTAGATTCAAATGAGAATTTATATTTTAACAGGGTACAATGGAGAAAAAAGATTCATGTAGCCGATCCCATATAGTGGGATAAAGGCTTGATATTGTTGTTGTTGTATTAAATGTAATTTTAAAATAATAATAAATTTTAAAAAAAATTATTAAACATTTTTTAATAAAAAAATTATTAATAATTCTAATTTTTAATTTAAAATCATTATGGACTAGAATTATTAATAATTTTTTTATTAAAGAAATATTTAATAAAATTTTTAAAAAATATTATTATTTAAAAATTATATTTAATAAATAATTTAATTAAAAATGACTAAAATACCTCTTGATCCAAGACCATTAATCCCAAAATTTGATGTTAGGACAAAAAAGACATCTTTTTAATGAGTCGAGGATCAAATTGATTACTCTAAAGAGTTGGAGATCATTTTGATTCCTTATAAAGAGTTGAGGGACCATTTTGGTCCTTTTCTCAATTATAATCATTTATAAACTATGAGGAGGATTTTAATTTCAAAGAAGGTTGTCAATGTTATTGATTCAACAACAAACAACAACAACATCAAGCCTTTATCCCACTGCGTGGGGTTGGCAATGTTATTTATTCACTTATTAGAAAATTAAATTCTTTATGGGCTTGATTGACTGTGTAATATTAGATTAATTATTGTATTGATCAATTAATTTTGCCGTTGAATAGGCTTTCCTATTATATACTTACATATATAAGAGGATCTATATGCTAATATATTTGGCATTGAAAAATAGATAAAATATTATTTTGGCACGTTTGTGTCACCGAATAATAGCAAATGACATATAATACACCAATATGACAATTAGATTGATTTTTTGTGAAAGAAATAGGAATAAGATTGTTACATAAAAAAAAGTATGGCAAGAAGTGCAAGAAAGACTCATGAAATAGAATAGACCCTTCATTTGGGCAAATTATTGCATCTGATCATCGGACGCGGAGAATAGGTTCAGACATCCAATAAAAATTTGCCACGTCACCTGTACTTTTGACTGCGCTTTAGTTGCATTTTAGTTGCGCTTTGACTGCGCTTTACCTGCACTTTGACCTGCGCTTTTACGCGCTTAATTTAAAATAATATTTTATTAATATCCGGACCTATCTCCGCATCCAGTGACCGGATGCAATAATTTGCCTTTCATTTGACAATCAGTTGTAATAGATGGAGTTGGATGATTTATAATGCTGATCCATGTAGTTGAGGTGGGGATATAGCTAATTATGATATGATCAATGTTTAGCTGGAGTCAATAATGGCATTTGCTTGTTGATGTGGATTATTTAGCATGATATACAAATGAATTCATCTTTGATTATCTTTAACATGCCATCTAGTTAGTACGCAAAACCATTTTTCACTATTAATAACTAGTTTAGCTTAGTAATGACTTCATTAATATGAAATTTTATATTTCTGCTTGGAAGATTCCTTTATGCAAGTTATCCCTCATTTGGCATATCCATCATGTTATCCCCTTTAGATATCAGATGCCATACGTGATGGGGCAGAAGGTTTTTTTAGGACTCAATATGGAACTATTTCGAAGATGGCTGTATTACTAGCACTTGTTATTCTTAGCATATATCTTTTCCGCAGTACAACGCCACAGCAAGAATCATCTGGCCTAGGAAGGTACGATAATTTAACTTGCTCTGTTTTCCTCTCTTAGTAAGCAGGATTTTTTTTTGTTTGCACCAGCGCTTGTGTAACTTTTTTATTTCTATTTGTCAAGCATGCGCTATCATGTCTCTTTGCTAACCATGGTTCATAATTTGCTCTTTTTAGGTCAACAACTGCATTTATTACTGTTGCTGCTTTTCTCCTAGGCGCTTTATGTTCAGGTATTGCTGGATATGTTGGGATGTGGGTTTCAGTTCGTGCAAATGTTAGAGTCTCAAGTGCTGCTAGGCGCTCAGCTAGGGAGGCTTTACAGGTGGTTTTTGTGTAGTAATTTTGAATTTTTTTTTCTCTTGAGTATTCCCAGATTTCAGTTATTTATCAACACCCGTTTGCAGATAGCTGTTCGAGCTGGTGGCCTATCAGCCATGGTGGTTGTTGGCATGGCTGTAATTGGCGTGGCAATCCTTTATGCAACATTCTACGTATGGCTTGGAGTTGATTCTCCTGGTTCCATGAAGGTTGTCGACTGTAAGTTGCTTCCACCAATCTGTTTCCCAAGATCTTTTGATAAAACAAAGCTAAACTCCTCAAAACCGATTAATACAAAGTCAAGTTTTACTAGTGTACTGTTTCGGGATTCTGAAAAACTATATTCCAATGTGTACTTCTTACGTACTTAATTTCTGTTATTTTCAACCTCTATCTGAATTTTCTTGCTGCTGGGCATGCTTTTAGATCTTTTTATTCGTAGCTAAAATTGTTTCTATTGATTGATAGACCAGGATTGGCTTCCTTATGTGTGTTCTTTTTAAAGTTTTGAGTAGTTTTTTAAGATTTTCGAATATACAACCCTTTTGTTAAGCTGTGAACATGCTTTGTAATATATAAAATCTTACCATAAAGAGTTTTCTAATGCAACTATATGATATAATGCACAAATTGATGCATGATGCCATAATTCACCCAAGCTGATTATTGGTAAATTCAAACAACGAAGTCATAAGTTATGACTGGAAATAACTGAAGGGTCTCCATTGCATCCAACTCCGATCATTAGAACCAGCCAGGCTCAACAAATAATATTCAACAAGAACTCTTTGCCTAACAACAAATGGCCAAAGGCCAAATCAACTTAGAACAACTAGCTTACGACCAAAACTACACCGAACAAAGATTAACCAGTAGAAATAGTTGCTAGACCAAACAAAGGATAGAATTGAGAATTGCGCTAGGTAAGAAAACACGGCCCTTTTCTTTTTATAGGGATCATCATAGGCATGCTTATCAAGGAAAAAAACATTGGACGACCAAAGGGAGAAACTTCTAAAATAGAATAGCATGATTAAAGAAAGAATTTAATGCTTTGATTATTAAATCCACTTATTTCAACACACATTCTATGCTTTTGATGAGTAATGAATTCCAGGATTACATCACTTTGAATTTGTAATATATGCATGATTTGAAGATATTAGTGTTTCCTGTAAAATTTAAAACATATCAAGTTGATTGAAAGTCTATGATCCAATTATGTTATATGAACTCTTATATTTTTCTTGCATGGGTATATTGCTTCCCTAGTCAGGATCATAAAAGGTGAATTCTTGCATTTATATTCATACACAATTTCCTTTTTGTATATTCCTTTCATTATCATATTTTATTTATTTTTCATTTAAATTTGTATTTATATGTATTTCAATAGGATGCTTTCACATTTAATATGTATTACACTCTAATAAAGGTCATTTGACTCTTCATTTTAATAGAAAATAGTATTATTACCAATATTAGCAAGTAAGCATACAAGATTTCATATCACTAAATGCATTGAATTTTAAATAGAACTGCAATTGCTATAAAATAAAGATGTAATCACCCACCACAAATTTTTTTTTTGAAGGTCAATCTTGAACTTTAATGTTTTTTTAATTTTTAGTCGATTCTTCCTTAGTTCACAAATTATGCATCACAGACATGTTAAAGATAAATTCGGTTATTTAATTCATAACTACCTTTACATTTAATTTCTTAATTAAATTAACAGTAATCAATTTAATTCTTATCTTAATTGTCAAGAGCTCCTCACTTGCCTACAATGTGCTTCTCTTAATTAGGCTACTCAGTTCTCCCTCTGTCTAAAGTAACATCAAAGGTGTCAAATAATGTCGGGATTAGTAGACGTTATCAAAGGAAATGTCAAAAGTATCGAATGTCATCAAAGATATTATCAAAGGTAACAAATCAGTAAACCACATCTCTTAATAAAAAATTCATTTTATTCCATCATAAAAAGATAAAATGACATTTAAATAATTTTTTTTATTACCTTCAATCTTTTTTTGTCTCTCTCTTCATCAAACGAGTTTGCATAGTCCACTACTTTTTTTCCTTGTCAAATAAAATTGCACAAATTAATTAAATCAAATTGAAATAATAAATTTATTTCTTTCTATGCCACAGAAAATTCATTTACTTTCTCTCTTCTCTATTTCCGACTCCGCCGAGCCAGATTGCTTGATGCTTTTTCTTCTCAGGTTTCAACCTAGTGAAAATGTTTGAACTCTTCTCTATTTTCGATTCCAGCAAACAAGTCACATGAACTCCTCTATTTCTTCTCCAATTCTGACTCTACCGAATAATGCCTCTAATTCTATCAAACAAGGCGCATGGACTCTTGCCTATCTCCGTTCAACTGATCGAATGGATTGCACAAACTATTTAAGAGTAAATTGATACTTAAAGCTTCATAACTCTTCTTCCACTATTTGGATGTAAACTTTTAGCTCTGTCAGATACTATACATTTTGGTACATGTAATCTTATAATTTCATTCACATATATTTTTGCTAATTTATCCATACAATGAGTCTATTTAATCGGCAAGAAATTACAAATTTTGAAAACGTATTTATAATAACCCATATAGTATCACGATTCTATCTTGATGTAGGCAATCTAATAAAAAAACCCATTGCCATCTCATCTCATTTCCACTCTGTTTTTGGTATTGCAACTGTCCATATGACCTTTGATGTTCTGCTTTAATTATCTGATGACATATAGCACACTTAGCCATGAATGCTGCTATACAATAACAGTAACATCAAGCCTTTATCCTACTACGTGGGGTCGGCCACATGAATGTTGCAATATTTCTTTTTAATCATGGCCACCAAAATATTCTTTTAAGCTCTTGATATATTTTATTGCTTGAATTGTATAACCAGAAGTACCTTCCTGTAGAATTTATTTTCTTAAATTTAACAATATTTGGAACACCGTTTCTGCTTTTATATTTTAAAAACTTACTTCATGAATTTTATAATTTTTCAAATGACATGCTTTTATCATATTTAGAATTTTTTGAAAACCAACATCCTAAGATAATTTATTACATATGTCGTCTTTCAATATTGATTGAATTGTCAGCATTTTTAATAGAATAAAATTTATATTATTAAAATTTACCACTGATAATTTTAATCTGTTCATAACCATAATTAACTGCTTTTGTTTAAGTTCTAGGTCTGCCATCATGTTCTACATAAATAATATGTGAACTTCCCAAGATGATGTGCTAGGTCTTGTAAATCTTTGCTCCAATGATTCTTACAATTGTCTTTTCAATTTTTGTAACTTCTTAATTGCCATTTGATACGGTGCTCTATGTTAGACCGGTCCACTGGACCGGTCCAGCCGGTCCAGCCGGTCCAGGCGGGACCGGATCACGGGCAAAATCGCGAAAAGGTGGAATCCTGGCGGAGAACGAGCGGCTGACCGCTCAAACAGAGCGTTTTAGGAAGGATTTTTGGGGGGTTTCAAAGAGAAATTTGAATGTAGGGACTGTTTAGGGAATTCCTTTTGATTTGTATGCATTAAATAGATGTTTTTTTTTAGGGTTGGTGGCAATCCAAGTAAATCATCTAGAAGCACTTATGTGTATTTCTTCACTACTGGTAAATTTTCAACTTTTTTACTTCTTTATTTATATCCTTTATTTAAAGAAGAAAACCCTAATATCTACTATTTAACAACTTATAGGCTTTCAAATATGTTATTACCATCAATGACAGCCCTCTATCTTCATACAATTTGCATTTGTTTTTTCCAGGAAAATTGAATTTCATCACTTTCTTATTGCATTATATATTAAAAAAATGGCTAGATAACAAATCTACCCCTAAAATTACATCAAATTCTTATTGTGTTAACATATTCAATTTTGTTTCAAAACCTCTTTCACCTATATCTAAATTTATTTGACACAAGTTGTCTACATTCAAACAGTTTCCATTTGACATCATAACATATAATATTGTAGGAATTTTTGAAATATTTAACCCAACTTATTTAACTAAATTCTTTGAGATGAATGAATATTAGAGTTCAGTATTGAATAAAATTCAAGTAGGAAAAGGTGACAACATGAAACTTTATCATTAATGATACTCCAAAATGTTGTTAGTCTACAATTATTCAGAATAAGTAAATAAAAATTCTGCACAAATTAAATGAAAAATATATCTTTAGTAACTTTGGGTGAATCTTTAGCTTTTATATTGATACTTCTCATTTACTCTAGGCTGAGTATTGTATTATATTTGATTTTGACCTGGAATTGATGCAACTGACTCTGTTAATCACTGAGTCTCATTCAAGCTTGTATTGGCTCGTCTGTTCAATTGCTTCTGCTGAACCTGTTTGACTGAACATGCTTAACCAGCTTTTACATTATGTATGACATTAAAAATCACGTTTTATGTAGTTTTTTTCCTCCCAAAATTAGAGTTGGACATAATTGGGATACACCCTTACATGCCGAGGCTTGCCTTCAAGGTCGTAATAATTAGACCGAACATCGAATTAGAGAAAGAGAGGTTCAAGATTCAGTGGTTGGAATTCAACCGGATGGTGTAATAATATTAAAATTATTTAAATAAAAAATAAATGATATAATAATGATGTAATAATTATTGAATAATATAAATTTAATGTACATTATTGTTAATTTATGTTATATATTTAAATAAAATTTACAACTAGAAATTATATACTAAATTTGCATTATAAAGTTGCATATATAGATCATTCATGTTAGATCATTTATAATTAATAAATAGATAAAAATTAATTTTAAAAGTGTACAATTAAAAAAAATTAAAAAAATAAATGGATAAAGAATTAAATATTATTAATAAAAAAATAATTTGTTTATATTTTGTAGCTCTTTTGAATATTATACTCTTTTTGGGTTTTTGGTATTTTGTGTGGACAATATAATGTTGATATTGATAACATCATATCAAATGACTAATGCTAATGTCATTGCTAACAATTATTTACACTTGATGAAATATTGACATGTTATTACAATTCAATGCTAGTTTTTCTTTTTCCCATTCATAAGCAATTTATGTGAAGCATATGATATTATATTTTATTATATGATAATTTCTGATAGAAAATATTGACATTAATTATTTTTATTATACATTTTATATTGATAATTTGCAAAAGAAAATATTGTGATCATGCTATATTATATCTTACTTTTATGGTTATGAGGTGCCCATGTCTGTATTGTTGCTATCGTGTCATATTTAAGTTTTGCAAAAGATTTGTGTAAAATATAATAAACTTCTCATGAAGCAATCAACTTAATGAATAGAGGATTCACAAAGTTGCTTCAAAAGTTGGATTAGGACTGAAAATGACTATTTGAGAATGCAGCCAATCAACACACGCATAATCGTTTAAATACCCGTAATAGATTTTTAAATACCATGATACCATCAGAAGTTTTGCAAGTTCTGTTTTGGTTGCTGTGGTGGTTTAATTCGGCTTGTTAGAAGTACGCTGGTCAAATGTCTTGAAGATGGGACTGATTATACTCACATCTGAAGAAGTGCTATACTAAACCGCTTCAAATGTGTGCAAGCCTCATATGTCTGGAATACAATGAATTACTAGTTCTATCTTCCTATATTCTCCAATCGCTGTGTCAAAACTCTATGTTAGCAATGTCTTCCCATATTTCGATGGTTTTTGAAGTCAAGCATCATGAGTTGAATATCAACCAGGCTTTTCTTGAAAGAATTTCAGTTGTGTTAAGTGGGAGTACCCTTTTGGAGGTGCTAACTCAGCTGTTTAGGCGCTTGGGCAAGATGAGTTGCAATCCTGAACCCTTTAAACATCCTCAGGCGATTATATTAATAAGTCAACAATTTTGGAAAGATTTAGTATTCATATTCTTTTGATCAGTCCAAACTTATCTATGGGATGTAGAATCAGAAATGCATTCACTTGTCCTATCGAATTTTTTTTTTTTAAATGTTGTTTTGGTTTATCTTGATGGACATTTAAAGTTTCATGCTTCTTTGCAGTGCCTCTTCTTCTTGTTGGATATGGTTTCGGTGCCTCGTTTGTTGCCCTTTTTGCTCAGTTAGGTGGGGGAATTTTCACTAAAGCAGCAGATGTTGGAGCTGATCTGGTCGGCAAAGTAGAACAGGGTATACCTGAAGATGATCCTAGAAATCCGGCTGTCATTGCTGATCTGGTATCAAAACTCACTTTTAGCTTTAAAAATTTGCTACCGTGTTTTTAGTGAGACTACTATTCTTTTCTGCTACTTCCTGTACTGATTTTTAAAATTTGAAACTAAATATTTTGAATTCTATTACAGCATGCAATGTTGTTCCTTCTAGGATTTTTACTGTTATAATTTATATTTTACTGCTATATTTGTAGCCTTGAGTATTGTATTATAACTGAATGTTTTCATTCTGTGCTGTATTTTCATTATTATTATTATTATTTTCATTTGCATTACAGCCTAAGGGTAATTGTTCTTCAAATATCAATAATGTGAGCAAGAACAACAGTAATGATTTATGATAACAATAACTACTAAAGCAGTAGGAAATAAATAAACAAGTGATTGCTCACTTTGATTTAGTTATGATTTGATAATTAAACAACTTTATTAGTTTTCAAGTTTTACTTAGGGTGATTGATCTAAGATGCCTTAGGGCCTAGTTGTCACGGCTCAGCCTAGTAGTTTGGATTACTCAAGTACAATCGGACAATCGAATGGATTATTTAAATTACTTATACAAACGTCAGCTAATACCTAAACGGTCGTTCATACTTTTTTAATGATAACTTCAAATACATAAAAAGAGTCACAATAATTCAAAGTTCATTATAAAATTTAAAATATAACATTTATGATATAAATACAATTCCCTGGTGTCACCACATTTATGATGTATATTTTTCATTCCCCCACTTATTTGCTCTCAAACTCTTGTCCTAAAAATAATGATAAGTACAATAGTGAGTCATCAACATAACTCAACTGATACATGTCTCTAAAATATAAAAACAAACAAGAACATTGAAAACAAAATGCATGCTTGTCATAAAATATGAATCTATATAATATCACTTGACAACTCATTATTTTTAAATATGACCATTTAAGAAGTTTTGAAACATTCCTTTGTACATTAAGAAGTGAACATCTTATATTATCTATATCATTTTTATATGATACGTTCATCACAAAAGCATTGTCTAAGTTGTATCATTTAATGTACATTCATTTCAATTTTTTTTGAAGCATTTTTCATTTCACACACAGGCATACTAGCTTCACTAGTTAACAATAAATCATAATAAAATTTTAATTAACAGCTAATTAAATGAAAATTAATAATGACTTATGCATTTGATCTTGAAGATGCAATGTTATTACTTTAAATAAAAAAACATGATTAACCACCTCAATCTCAGGTGACCTTTTTTTCCCTTTTATACGCATGAAATCTCTTAAGAATACTATCAACTAATCATTCTCATTGGAACAATTTAATATATAATATATATATATATTTTTAATTTCTAATTTCATTTACTTAATATATTATATATTTTCTTACTAACATTGTATTAAAATAAATTATGAATTTTTATAATATAAACAAATTCCTCAAAATTTTCTTTTCTTTTCTCTTTCTTTGTTAAATCGACAATGGTCTCCTCTTAGTTTTCCTTTTCTCTAAAATCTAAAATAAATACATATATCTAAAATATCATACTAGAATCTTTAATTTTGAGAGAACAAAAAAACCTTCGTTACTCGAACTTGACTTGATTTTGTGCAGCTTGTCAAGCTTAGCTCAGTTTCCCCACAAAGAGTCTCAAATGTCAAACATCTCAATTGCTCGCCTAATCACATGCTTAATTGCCTATGTGCTCACTCTGTTTCCATCACTCATTCTACCTCCTACTCTCTATGTCTCTTGCTCTTCTGCTTGTCTTCACTTTCTCTCACTCACTGACTTTCTCTCTCGCTCTCTATTTGCATTCGACTCCTCTCCATCCCCCGCTCTTATAACGTGGAACCGACAAATAGTTGATTCTACTGAATTGTCTATTGCTTGTTAAATTTTTTTCTTTTAAAAGTTGGGATTTTATAATCTTCCCCACTTAAAAAATATTGCCCTCAAATTTGCTAATTTAATGCAATTTTAGGTTGACATAGGCCACTAATGAAAATTTGTGATGAAACAACATGAAACATTGCAATTCACGTATTCCTTGCTTTCAGTTTAATAGTTTAGACAATATTTCAAAAGCTGCTTAAATATGAAATTCCACAGGAAATCTGAGAATAAACATAAAATACTATAATAGTTGAAATTCGCACAAAAAATAGAAACCATCATACATTAAAATTTGACAATATTTCTAATCACTAAATATTTTTAGAAGAAAGAAGAAGGGAGAAATCATCAAATGGAAGATTGAAGCATCATAGCATTGCAAGGAGAATAACTCCTATAAGTTGTTGTCAAAACAAGTGAAGTGCTCGTGGCATTTATATCCAACAATACATAAAAATCTGAGAGAAAATAGAATTTTACTCAACAATTCAATATTTTTTTGCATGCCTCAATGATCCTATTATAACCCAAGAAAGATCCAAAATAAATAATTCTTCATAATCCTCCTAGATTTAGCATAATGCAGTGAGTCTTAATTTAGCACACTTGAATTCCAATAAGAGCAACTTTTCAATCTTAGTTTCTACAAAATAATAGATTTTCAATCTAAAAATCCAGTTTCTGGCAATTGTTTATTGTTCTACTTATGATAACATACTAAGAAATAAAGAAAACCAATAAGTTGATTGCCAATTGTGTCTAACAACAAAACTAGAAATAGCAGAACTCGAGTATTGTCTCATGGAAAGAAATATCATTGAAAGAAAAGCACATCTACACTGAAATGTCAATGAAGGAAACTGATTGCCAACATAGCTATTTTCTCTGGTAGGCGGTGTCAAAAAGGCTCATCATTTGATAATAGTTCATTTTCAACTTGATCGTTAAGTAATCAAGCTAAACTTGAAAAGATAATTTGAGCTCGTTTTCTGAATGAGCCAAACACAAGTTTTGTTTAGTAGTATTTGGCTCATTAACATCTCAAATATATTTTTTATCCAATGGTTATGTTCTAAAAGCATTAAACATCTAGAAGTTTTATTGAAATTTAGTATTATTTGAGTTGGACATCATCCTTAAGAGCTTAAAGTGTACCAAAAATCATCATAAGTTTTTCAGACATGATCGAGCATGTCCAAGCTTGAACTGTGCTAAAGCTCAAATACAAGCCAAGCTCTAACACAAACCAAGTTCGAATACATGTCAACTCATTTACACTCCTATTCTGAGGAAAACAACAATGACAGAAGGCATGACCCAAATATAGCTACAGTGCCAATTAAAGAAATCTGGCAACTTGCTAGAGTTTTGCTAACAGAAGAAAACCCCTGATTGGAATTGGAGTATTTCTACTTCAGCAAAATCCCAGATCTAGTGAATCCCACAATTTCCAAATCAACAGCAATAACAGTAAGCATCCAAATCAGTAGATGAACAATTAAAGGGTTGAATGCGTGTTGAAGCTAAAGGAATTTGAAACAATTGAACTAGGGAATCCAAGAAATGTATTGAAATGGCTTGCAGAGCATCATCATATGTAATGAGCTAATCAGATCATCATCATATGAATGTTTTACAAAACAAAAGTAGAACATATGACACAAAACTCATAACCTCTAAAAACTCTTAATATTCATCTCAATGTTCACTTTTTATGCTTCTGACCAGCATACTTTTTAGATTTCCATCAAAGGTCTTAGGTAGCCATTGCATCTAGGAAGCTTAAATCATGTGCTTTGTCACTTCGGGACAAAACATTGGAAATTGGCTGAGTTGATACTGCAATTAGAAATGTCTTAGTTTAATACCTTGATAAAACTTCAAGCATGCTATGTTATTTATTGCAAAATATTTTTTTTTTTTGTATTTGATAACCTTATTAGAAGAGTAGACTTATTAGATCTAGTCTATGTTAAAAAAGTAAAGTCAAATCTAAGAAGGCTTGATTAGAAAGTATTAAAAATGATCTTTTTTTTAGGTGGAAATGAGAATTTGACTCTTAATAGGACATAATGAAGAAAAATGATTCATCTAGCTGTAGGGGCGGAACCAAGTGATATTCAGGGGGGGCAATTGCCCCCCCTTAAAAAAAAATTAATTACAAGTAAGGGTATTTTAATACATTCCCCCTCTGAAAAAGTACATTTTCGCCTTGTTTGCCCTAACATCCCATGACTGCCTCTCATTCGCGAATCGCCCGCAGCCCTCTTCCCTCTTCTTCACGCGGCAACCGGCAAGGAAGCCAGGAAGGAATCGCGGCTCTCATGAGATCGGAGCTCCCCTCCAAAGAATTGTGTGTTAGGCTTTCTTCTTTTTTCTGAATTTTCTTCATATTTTTGTTTCTTCTCTGATCTCTCAAGTTTTAGTTTTTTGCTTGAACTTTTTCTTCCTTTTAAGAGTATGCTATTAGATTTTTGTTCATGCTCACGGTTCACATTTCTGTTCAGATTTTTGTTCAGATTTTTGTTCAAATTTTTGTGTCATCCGATTTTTAATGTGTTCCGGACAAAGAGCCGGCTGTCTTTCTTCCTCCTATTGTCCGAAAAAAGTGTTTTTTTAGCATATTAGGGTGAATTCTGGAGGTCTGGATTTGAACCATGAATTTAAAAAATTTCCTTGCTAAAATATCTCTCTTCAAATATTTCAGGTGATCTCCTTCATATTTTAAAATACCTGGTTAAGAATTAACTTGAGTTTTATGGGAAGGGGAAAAATCTGAGATATTTTGCATTAACATATTTCAGGTGATCTCCTTCATGCTTGCCTTCTTATTGGGCTATATCAAAGTGGTATCTCAGCGTTGTTCTCCCAAATTTGAATGAAATGTAATCACTCAATGCAGTTCACTAGAAAAACATGTTCTAGCTATGTTCTGCAAATTATAGGAAGAGGAAAAGCGTGACAACACTTTTTAGTATTCCAAAAGATAACTGCATATTTTATAGGCCATTTATACCATTGGACTGATAAACCTTTAGAAGTATCCTTACATCCTAGGTTAGGAGTAGCAGTTGGAGTAAGACTTTAAGCTCTTATCTAAAAATTAAATTTTAAAGACTTTCTAAAACCACATAAAGCTATTAATTGTAGAGAGTGAGCAAGAAAGCAGATAATTAGTTTGTTTGAATTTTGTTATATATATATTCGTTTTATAATTTTGCCCCCCCTAACATTTAACGCTGGTTCCGCCCCTGTCTAGCCGACCCTACATGATGGGATGAAGACTTGTTGTTGATATATACTTTTGTATTTGATAAGTCAATGGTAAGATGATTTTTTTCGTGTTGCTTTATATTTATTGGAAATTTTGAAGTTTTAGATTCTGCCTATGTATACTCCTTTATCTGGACGAGAAATTCAATTGAACAACTAATTTGAAGCACTAGGTTGCATCTTGTATTTTGTTCTTGACATCTGTTTATTCTAAGTTAGATATTATCTCTCGGTATACTCTATTGCCAATGAAAATCTGCAGAAGAGTCAATGAAGATCGTCAAAACAAGAATACCAAGAGATCTTAAGGATGACAATTTTGGTTAAAATTAGATCTTTCTAGATAAAATCTTAAAATATTGTTCTGGCAGAGTTTGAATGTTATTACTGATTTGCCATTGTTTCTTCTTCTTTTTTTTTTTTTTGCCATTGTTTCTGCTTGGTGCTCAGGGTTATATTTATCATCCTCATAGTTCTGTCCGTGCTACTATGTTTTTTTAGAGTTCTTCAATTGTCTCTGTTAGGGCTTCTGACTGAGATTTCGGAGATGATAAATTTTTTTCCAGAGACTTACATGTTCCTTGTTGTATTTTGTTTCATTAAATTTGATTCGAGGTCAAAAATTGATTCGAGTTCTCTTTTTGACCCAGGTTGGTGATAATGTGGGTGATTGTGCTGCTCGAGGAGCTGATCTTTTTGAGAGCATAGCTGCAGAAATCATCAGTGCGATGATACTTGGAGGAACAATGGCTCAGCATTGCAAAATCGAAGGTAAGGGTTGCCTACAACATGACTTTTTTTGTTAAGAGTATATGTATAACTGTTCTCTGTGATTTTCTCTCCATAGATGCATAATTGTGATTATTTTTCAATTTAGAAAAAAAGAATACTCTTCTCGTTTTCTTAATACTTTCTGCAACTAAAAGTAAAAAAAAAAAGTTCTTCACTTCTAATTTGATGAATCAGTTGTTTTGTACTTAGAATCATTAAACAGCCTTAGATCTCCTTGCTTTTTAATTTATGTAAGATACATTTAACTGATTAATTCATTTCCAGATCCATCAGGGTTTATCCTATTTCCTCTCGTTGTCCATTCTTTCGACCTTGTGGTATCTTCTATTGGAATACTCTCGATTCGAGGAACACGTGAACTTGGGTCTAAGCTTCCGGTGGAAGATCCTATGGCGATTCTCCAGAAAGGTTATTCTGTCACAATAGTTTTAGCCGTTATAGCTTTTGGAGTGGTAAATCTTCACAATTTTTTGTTTGTTTTGAGTTATATTTCCTAATTTATTATTTATTGGAATTCCATGTTTGTTGTGGCTTTCATTTTGACAGTCTACTAGGTGGCTTCTTTATACTGAACAAGCACCTTCCGCATGGTTAAACTTTGCGCTATGTGGATTGGTTGGCATCATAACAGCCTATGCTTTCGTTTGGATTACCAAGTATTACACAGATTACAAGCATGAGCCTGTACGAACTTTAGCACTTTCAAGTGCTACAGGGCATGGAACTAATATAATCGCAGGTGTAAGTCTTGGTTTGGAATCAACAGCTCTTCCTGTTCTTGTGATTAGTTTAGCCATCATCTCAGCATACTGGCTTGGGCAAACTTCTGGCTTGATGGATGAAACTGGGAGTCCTACTGGTGGCCTCTTTGGTACAGCTGTTGCTACCATGGGAATGCTTAGCACTGCAGCTTATGTTCTCACTATGGACATGTTTGGACCAATTGCTGACAATGCTGGTGGAATCGTTGAGATGGCACAGCAGGTATTGTTGTTGTGCCTAATGCTTTCGAAGTTTTCTGTCTTGAGATTATCTATATTTATTTTTTTCCCTGAGATAGTACAAGACTAAGGCTTTGTTTGGAACGGCTTTTTTATTGCTTCTTAAAATGGCTTTTTAGTTCAAAAATTAAAATTTTAATACAAAAAAGCCGCTTTAAGAAGTAATGAGAAAGCTGTCCCAAAACGAAGCCTAAAACTAGCCTCACTAGGTTGACATTTTCCATTCCTCATTTAGGCTTCGTTGGGACCGCTTTCTTCGTGCTTCTCAAAGCTGCTTTTTAGTACAAAAATTTTAATTTTTGTACTAAAAAGCAGCTTTAAGAAGCAGTAAGAAAGCGGTCCCAAACGAAGCCTTAGATTTTTGTCTGTAATCTTGCACACAGTCTATGTTTTGACTAGGGTTCATGAATAGAATCTAATGCCCTTCATTTTTATTTTTCTCTCGGACATTATTTTCTTGAAGCCTGAAAGTGTTCGAGAAATAACAGATGTCCTAGATGCTGTGGGCAACACCACCAAGGCTACTACAAAAGGTTTTGCTATTGGATCTGCTGCCCTTGCTTCTTTTCTTCTGTTCAGCGCATATATGGATGAAGTGGCTGCATTTTCTCACCTCCCTTTTAAGCAGGTTATAGCATTTAGCTCTCAGTCATGTACCATTTCAATCAAATGCTGCCTTTAGGTTTATATTTGATTCTGCATCGGTGGTTTTGCAGGTGGACATTGCAATCCCTGAGGTTTTTATTGGTGGGTTGTTAGGCTCAATGCTTATATTTGTATTTAGTGCTTGGGCATGCGCAGCTGTTGGAAGAACAGCTCAGGAAGTTGTTAACGAAGTCCGTAGACAGTTTATTGAGAGACCAGGCATTATGGTGGGCAATGTCGTTCTAGTCATTCCTTAAAACCATTTTTATCATGCATTGGCAACTTATATTTAACAGTTCTTCGGTGACAGGAATATAAAGAGAAACCAGATTATGGCCGTTGTGTTTCGATTGTGGCATCTGCATCTTTAAAGGAAATGATAAAGCCCGGTGCTTTGGCAATTTTATCACCTATTATAATTGGTTAGTCTTCTATTCTTTGACTCCCATTTGTTTTTGATTCCTCACATTAGGGGTGTAAGTGAGCCGAGCCGGCTCGAGCTTGACTTGTTTATGGGCTCGCGAGCCAAGCTCACGAGTCGAGCTCAAGCTCGAGCTCGTTTACAGTGAGATGAGCTTGAGTTCGAGCTCGCCTGTCAAGCTCGACTCAAGCTTGAGCTCGAGTTCGAGCTCACTTTCCAACTAACGTGCCGAGCTCGATAAGGGCCTAAACTCCACTCTGCTCGTTTACACCCCTACCTCACACTAACCGAAACAATATACACTTTCTAGAAAAATACTTTTACAAGGTATCTTTTGTAGCTTATCAAACTACTGGTCTACAGGCTTCCTTTTCAAGATGTTGGGTCAATTCACTGGTCAGCCACTTCTTGGTGCCAAAGTTGTGGCATCTCTGCTAATGTTTGCGACGGTGTCCGGCATACTTATGGCTCTGTTCCTAAATACTGCTGGAGGTGCCTGGGATAATGCTAAGAAGTTCATAGAAACTGGTGCACTTGGTGGTAAAGGTAGTGATTGTCACAAGGCAGCAGTTACTGGGGATACGTAAGTTTTTCATTCCATAATTTTTTGTAACGCTTCATCAACTATTCATATGTTCAAATTATGTTAGTATGCCTTATTTTTCCTTCATTGCGCATTGCCTATGAGTTTTTGCATATTTTTGTGTTGGCAAAGGGGATATTTAATTGGCCATATTCAAAGAGCTGCACTTTTTAAAATTTCTTCTTTCCAATAAGTTAATATGCACTCCGGATTAACCTTTTTGAAAACAAGATAAACCCCGAAATCCTCAAATAATTTACTATCCATGATAATAACTGAAACAGAAAAAGGCCTGGGTCCATATTGGACAAATGTTGAATTGCTTCAAAGCATGTTGTATGACAACATTCTTATGATCAGTTGCTTTGATTTTTACATCTACCACGTTTCTGTTCTTATATTCTGCTTGGGAGTCTATGATGAATACAGTGTTTTATTTAAAATGCTCTATTTCTTAAATTCTAATTCCTTATTAATGCGCAAATTTCTGTCAAATGGCAGAAATGTATGAAATCAATAATCCAGTGACATGGTTGCAAGCTTCATAACAATTGCTGATTCATGCACTTCGTTTGAGATGGCTTTTTTGCTATTCTTAAAACAACTTCCTAGTAAAAAAATTTAATTTTTACACAAAAAAAATTATTTTGAGAAACAGTAAAAAAGACATCCCAAACGAGGCCTATAATTTATCGCATGGACTGAAACACCTTTTGAGGCATTACCAATCCTTTTTTTTTTTAAATATTTCTGTGTGTATTTACTGCTTGTACTTTTATCATTTATTGTGCTTAATAAATTGCATCGCTCTGCTGGATCAGAAGCCATCAATTCACTGATGTTAGTAACATTAGCATTCATTTGTTAAATTTTTGTTGTACTCAGAAGCTTCTCATTTCATACATCATGTTCATAAAAATAGCTTTCTAGTTTCCTGTTAACAGGTTTAATTGTGGAAGTCCTGGAAGGTTTAGCTCTGGTTTTCTTAGGCTTCGTTTAGGACGGTTTTTTTACTTCTTTTAAAAGCAGCTTTTTTGTTCAAAATTTTAGAAGTAAGAAAGCCGTCCCAAACGAGGCCTTAGTCTGAACAAACAAAAATCATATTTTATTTTTTGTAATTTAAATATTTTTTTCATGATATTCTTCTATTCTTGCAGTGTGGGAGATCCATTCAAAGACACTGCAGGTCCTTCTCTTCATGTCCTTATCAAAATGCTTGCTACCATTACTTTAGTCATGGCTCCCATCTTTCTGTGAGAGATTTCCGACATCTTCCCCAGTTCACTATATTATTTCGGTACTCCCTCATTACTGTAAATGCTCATTGGTCATCGGTTGCGCAGCAACTTCATCGATGGACAGTCCTTTTTTCTTATTATTGTTATCCTGAAATACTTTTTTCCCCCCTTACCATTAGAATAATTTTAGAACATGAATGCCTAATTTGGTGTTCAGGTTATTTTTGGGTGGCTGAGAACTTCATGAAATGTAGAGTTAGTATCATGCTATATGGTGCTTGAGATTGTCACACAAATTTTGATCTGCTTGTTGATCAATTTATATCCACCCTATAAACTAATGGTTTGGATATTTTAAGCTGTATTGATTGTATGTAAAACAGAAGTATTTGATAAAACCCATTAGTTTACTCAACTTGCAATGAATGAATCATTTGCACAGAGTTTACAGTGTGTTAGACAAGTGATTACTTATTCTTACAGGAACATCCTTGAAGTTCTTCCTTGGTAATATTAGGGGGTAGAAGCTTTCTGATTGTTTATCACTAATTCAATTTTATGCAGGTGATCATGTTTATATAGAATTTTTATTAAAAAGAGGCTAAATTAGTTCAATTTAAGCTAATCTAATTTCATGCAAATACTTATGCTGCTTAGCAGGGGCGGATCCACCTTAAGTCTGGGGGTGACAATTATAATTCTTAGGTAATTTATTCTCTTTCATCTATTTTTTAGTCTTTATTACAAGAGATTTTAGGTAATTGTCCCCTCTAAAAGTTTTAAAATAGTATGATCTTTAGGCAATTGCCTCCAGCATAATTAAACACATTGTGTAGAGGTATTATTGTTAGGGAATGATGAACAAAATACAAAGAGAAATAGTAAAGGGAATCCAAAAATATCCTTATAACAAAAATTTGTTTCGGTCAAATCACGCTAGGGGGCTTTGCCCGCTTGGACCCCCGACATATTTGTGAAGCGTACAACGATCAAGAATATGAATAAATAGTGATCGTGTCAAATTTAAGGCAATATTATTGTGGTTTATGCTATTTCGAAAATTTTATTTATTCAAGCACAGCTTTAGATGAAAGTTTTAGATCCAATAGTTTCTAAGAATACGTGTTCTTCTCCTTCTAAAAACGTCATATGTGTTGGGAGTCCTGGGCCTTCAGCCTTTTTTTCTACTAAAGAAACTTCAAAATGAACATTGTCCTTCTTGTAATCTTAAAGTAGGAGGGCACTGTAGCATTTGGTAGCATCTTTGAACCACAAAGTCTTGCTTGTAAAGTGAGATCATAAGACTAACATTTCCTTCCTTTCCGATCGCAACCTTAATTGCATTATATCAAGACCAAGGCTTTGTTTGGGATGGCTTTATTACTGGTTCTTAAAGCAGCTTTATTTTTTACTAGAAAGCTGTTTTAAAAATCAGTAAGAAAGACGTCCCAAACGAAGCTTAAATGACATGCTTTGAATCATTAGGTGGAGTTAGAAGACATTTCTTATCCCTAGAGTGTATGCCTCGTCATCAAATTTTTTATTATACTCAATCCCCTACAATAAATAAATTTTAAGGTCTAGATCCCATTTCTCTTCTTAGGCATTTTTCTCAGCTTTCCTAAGTCAATTTGGATGGCTCATTTGCCTTCAACCTTGAGATTAATGCTAAGTTTCTTTTCCTATCGTCAAACAACCCTCGCATTAGGGATTTTGACTCGTATTCTATATGTCACCATTGATGATGCCATATTATTATTATTTTGCTTATTGTTTTGTTTGGCTGTGTAGTCTGTATTATTCTAAGTTATTTAACTCATTCTTCCATTTAGATTGGACAAAGGGTTGAAAATCCTTTGTATTGAATCAGGAAAAATGGACCAAAATCGTTAATAAGAGTGTTTTTGGCCTTTCATTAAAGTTGTAATTAATGACACTATCAAAAATTTAATGAAAGGCACAATTTGCATAATTTTTTTTTTTTTTTTTTTTTGGAAATGAGGATATCTTTTTTTTTTTTTTTGGAAATGAGGATATCTACCCGTTGCCATTCAAAGGGAGCGTTTGACAGCGTAACTAATACATCGGCAGAATCTAGCGAGGCCAACCATCGGCATCGGGCCCACACTTGCTTTGCCCAGAAGCAAGGCCGTAGTAGAGGGGATTTGAATCCGGGATGAAGGGGTTCCCAATTATGCTCGTCCACCTACCACCCTAAGACTCATGGGTTGCATAAGAAATTTGAAAAGTTTAGGGATTTCATAAAAAGAATAAAAACATACAAAATAATAGATTACTAAACTTTGGTGACTTACAAATAAAACTTTTTTTTGTTGCATAACACATTTGAATAAACTGAAGAAAAAAAAATCACTTACAAACCCCTAATTATGATAGAAATCGCCAGAAATTAATATTTTAGCCAATTACTTAAACATTTTCTTTGAATTTTAAATGATTGAAATTTAAGGTGAAATTAAGAAGACCCCTACATCACTTTACTCTTTCATGATAATTGGAGAGTATCTAAAACCATTGCTAATATCATATAAATTTATATAATTAGCCAATAATATTTTTATTTATAACCACTTTTTCAAATGTAAAAAAATACATATATTTTAAAATTTCAACAAATATATTACACATGTTTAGCATATTATAAAGAGTTAGTGTAAAAAAATATATATAACCTTTTAAAATATATTACATAAAAATACATCAATTTCAATTGTAAAAAATTTAGTATTTTAAACTTTCTTATAAATATATAAAATTATATTAAAAAATCCCTTTATCCAAAAATTTGAATCAATCAATAGTTATTTATTTCAATTTTTTTAAAATTAATCATTAATTAAAAGTATTATCTATTTAAACATATATAAATATTGCGGAGGGCTTCTTACCGCGGTCGGATTGCCCGGAGTCGGAGGCTTAGGAATTCCCTAAGGAGGGAAATGTGATTTTTTATTTTATAGATAAAGAAGACAAGAGAGAGAGAGAGAGAGAGAGAGAGAGAGAGAGATGGCCGGATCGGCCGATGAAGAAAACCTCTCTATGAAGATGGATTCCGAGTGGAACGAAGAGGCCGAGGAGGAGCTTCGGGCCATTGAGTCTGCCTACGCCGTTGCAAAGCGGAAAAATTCCGATTTCGACCTCGAGGAATCCTCATCGCAGCGCCGCCGCCTACCCGGCTGGGCCAACGCGGCTTCACCATATGGAAGAAAGACGCACGATCTATGCGATGGAAATGTCCATCACATTAGCAAGATTGATGGGTCTCCTTTCCGTTGCCCTAAGAATGGATTTTGTACTTTTTCTCCGACACCTTGCCAAGGTTCATAGTTTCGTCTCGGATGTTGTTTTATCCATTTTCTTATAAGTCGTTGTTTCTTCCGGCAACAAATGAGGGTAATTTAGCTTTTTAGAAACATTTGGGGGGAAATATATGAGGGTTTAGTTTTTATTCTTTCCAGTTTCTTTGATTTGTGTCGTCGAGGGTTTCCAGAATTTGGGGTAGAAAGACGAGGGTTTCTTATTTAATGAGATATATTAATTAGATTTTCAAATTAATGTTAATTATCAATATTAATTAACTAGATTTATGCTAAATCCTGCCATTGATAGCAGAATTTTGGCAGGGTTTAAGCAATTAATATTTGTTAATTAAAATTGTATTATATTAACCTAATCAATATTATTTTTATTTTTCTTTAATTTGTCTGAATATAAGTTATTTTTAATTAGCTTAGTAAATCAGGAATTAATTATTAGCTGATATTTTTAATTAGATTAATCTTTATTTAATCAGTCTAATTACTTTTGATACAAGCAACATCCATTTAAGTGGCTGCATTTCTTACTTATTGGATGTTAATTTCCTTACTTTACTTTTTAGTTTTTACTTTTGTCTGGCTTCAGAGGTGAATCAACTCATTTAATGTTTCACCCTTTCATTGCCTAGTATGTGCTTTGAACCTTTTAACCTCACACAAAATGCATTTGGTTTCTTTGTAATTACATATGATATGTATATTGAATATTTATTTTCTACCACCTAGTTTTTCAAACCAAAGTTGAAGGCTGCAAAAACTATTATTTGATTCACTTTTCTTATGTTGCAGCATTTTTGTAGCGGTTGGTTTGTGTTCTTTTATGTAATCAAGGAATCACTTTTCAATAATCACGTTTGCAGGTTACATATGCAATGCATCTTTGTATTTAAACTTCAAATTCATCTTGAAAAGTAAATCTTTAAATTTCGTTTGGGGTTGGCCTTTATAACACATAGGCCTTATCAAAGATCAGCCTTGTAACTAATTCCCCACAATTGGTTTTATTCTTCATAGAGTTGGATGTGAATTACAAATCAGAACAGCTATCCATGGAGGTATATATGAATCTGATTAACCAAAATCTTATATCTAATTAACTTTTATGTTGTGGTCCAGATTATGCTAGGGTTAAACGAGCATGATAATGTTAAAGCGGTAGTCCCACTAAGAAGGGTTCCTGGCTTTGAATGTATCTCCTTGTTTGTTTGATTTCCTCCACACTATAGTAGTAGTATAGTGGTAGTAGTATAGCATATAGTAGTAGTAGTATAGTAGTATCTATGATGCACCGACACGCCTCTTAAAGAGGGTATGCAGTGTCGGACACGGACACGCGTCGGACACGGCATGGACACGTGTCCGACACGGTACTGGAGTGTCGGAATTTAAAATATTAAAATTTAAATCGGACACGCATGTCCGATTATTAAATGATAAAATCGTCCGTTATATTTAGCCTTTTTGCGAACGAGAAGCCCTATTTTTCCGATCCACGAAAGAAATCTTCTAGGGCGGACCGGGAGAGCTCACAGTCGACACCAAACAGAGCCCGCTGCCTTCGCCTCCCATTCCTTCATCATTTCTGCTCGGCCAAGCAGAGCTCGTCTTTCCCATTCCTTCGTTCTTGCGTTATTTCTGCTGTCATTCGAGGCAAAGTTTGCAATTAAGGCTAAACAGATCACCTTCTGCGTGCAAGAGAGTCAAGAACTGTAAGTGAATTTCGCCATTTCTTCAGCGCCCCCTTGGACCCCCGGCAGACCGGTATATTGTTTTATTCATGTTGTATTTTTTTTATTTCACTTCATATCATTTTAATTCGATGTTTTCATATGCATGATTGGTTTGTTAGCAAAATGAGCTCGACTGCTGGCGGGAGGGGATTAGGTGAAGGTTCAAAAGAGCCATCTGTAGAAACTGATAAGTCATTATGGATTCATGTTACAAAGTTAGGAAAAACATTTGAAGGAGGAGGGAATGTGTCATTTAAATGCAATTATTATGGTGGCACCTACAAATGATCTTATTCTAGAGTGAAGGCACATCTACTTAAAATTTCTGGCCATGGAATAAAAATGTGTCCTAAGATTATTACGTCGCAGTTGATTGAATTGAACAGGCAAGTTGATGAAGCTGAATTTAGGATCCAAAGGACACTCCCTAAAGAGGTACATTTGCCATCTACTCATGGCACATCTCACACTTCTTCCTCATCTGTGAGAGTTGATCAAGCTTTATCATTTAGAAGTGAAGGATATGAAAAAGAAAAGAAAATGAGTAGCCAGTAGTCCTCTAGAGAAGGCTTTTAATTTACAGCAGCGAGAGGAATTGGATGGTTAAATAATAAGTATGTTTTTTTCAGCGGGACTTCCTTTCAACCTTGCAAGAAATCCTCATTATAAAAATGCATTCATTTTTGCATGTAACAACAATCTCGCAGGATATGTTCCACCTGGTTACAATGCATTAAGATCAAAATTATTGGAAAGAGAAAGAGCACATATTGAGACATTGCTTGACCAACAAAATGAGTGTGGAAAGAAAAAAGGTGTTAGTTTGGTGTGTGATGGTTGGATAGATCCTCAAAGAAGACCCCTACGTGCTGAAGATTAGTTTATGTGCATACAAATCTTCGTCTTCTATCAAAGAAAATCCCATTTTATTTGACAGGTGATAATAAGATGTGGGATGTTGCTGAAGATGGGTTCGAGTGCCTTGATGATATGGGATTATTGGAGGTTGCAATCTTTCTCTAGATGAACCAGAGTTGGAAGAAATGATATTCAATGATGATGATATTGAAGGCCAAAGACCAACATCTGAATCTAATTTTATCATTCGCTCTATTGAGTAGTTAGATCTTCATGTTGTATTAAATGGTTTTTTGCTTATATTTTTGTGTTTGTACTAGACATTTTGTACTAAACATCTTTATGTTATAAGCTAAACAAGTTATCAACTTATCATGAAATTGATTTATTATTGTTTGACATTTTTACTATAATGCCACCTTAATTTTTATATATTATATTAAAAAATTATTATGTCGTGTCCACGTCGCACCCCGTGTCCTATATTTTTAAAAATTGTCGTGTCCCGTGTTCGTGTCGTGTCGTGTCCGTGTCGGTGCATCATAGAGTAGTATAGTAGTAGTAGTTGTAGTAGTCTAGTAGTATATAGTAGTAGTATAGTAGTAGTAGTATAATAGTAGTATATAGTAGTAGTATAGTATACTAGTAGTATAGTAGTAGTAGTAGTAGTAGTAGTAGTAGTATAGTATAGTATAGTAGTAGTAGTATATAGTAGTATAGTATAGTAGTAGTATATAGTAGTAGTAGTAGTAGTATAGTATAGTATAGTAGTATATTTAGTATAGTAGTATTGTAGTATAGTAGTAGTATAGTAGTAATAGTAATATAGTATAGTAGTAGTAGTAGTAGTATGTAGTAGTATAATATAGTAGTATATAGTAGTAGTTAGTATATAGTAGTAGTACATTATAGTAGTAGTATAGTAGTATAGTAGTATAATATAGTATATTTTAATAGTATAGTATAGTATAGTAGTAGTATAGTATAGTATATTATAGTATAGTAGTATAGTATAGTAGTAGTACTATAGTAGTATAGTAGTAGTATAGTATATAGTAGTAGCAGTATAATATAGTAGTAGTAGTTGTAGTAGTATAGTAGTAGTTGTAGTATAGTATATAGTAGTATGGTAGTATAGTAGTAGTAGTATAGTATATAGTATAGTATAGTAGTATAGTAGTAGTATTATAGTAGTATAGTAGTAGTATAGTATAGTAGTAGTATAGTATAGTATAATAGTAATAGTAGTATATAGTAGTATAGTAGTATTATATAATTATAGTATTGTAGTATAGTATAGTATAGTAGTATAGTATGGTAGTAGTTGTAGTAATATAGTATATTGTAGTAGTATAGTAGTAGTACTATAGTAGTATGGTATAGTAGTATAGTAGTATAGTAGTAGTAGTAGCAGTAGTAGTATAGTAGTGTAGTAGTATATAATAGTATAGTTGTAGTTGTTGTATAGTAGTACTAGTATAGTATAGTAGTAGTAGTATAATAGTATAATAGTAGTAGTAGTATATTAGTATATTAGTATAGTAGTATAGTATTGTAATAGTATTATTAGTAGTAGTATATAGTATAGTATTGTAGTAGTAGTATAGTATAGTATAGTATAGTTGTAGTATATAGTAGTATAGTAGTAGTACTGTAGTAGTATAGTATAATAGTAGTAGTAGTATAGTAGTATAGTAGTAGTAGTATAGTATAATAGTATAGTATAGTATAGTAGTATAGTATATAGTAGTAGTATAGTATAGTATAGTATATAGTATAGTAAATAATTAATTAATTATAAAAAAAAACAAAAACTATAGTACTTTTGCTAAGGAGAATGAGCCTAATAGGTACATGGGGCTAGGACAGATGCTTTAGTGGTACCCACTTTTAACCCAAAAAGCTTAAACTTTTTTGGCGATGAATGTATTTATTCGTGAATGTACTTTTTATCAATCGAATGTGGCACTAAATATATGGATTTCACATAGTTTAACATTAGTATGGTCTATCACTTGAAAATCCCAATACAGGTTTGACTACTACCCTCTTTCTATAATTGTAGAGGATAGTTATTGTAAGCTGGGAAGACCGACCTGGGCTATAGATACCTCTCAAAGTTTCTATTGGAGTTAATGCCACATTGACATAGCTGCCAATACATCCTCTCCCTTTTTCTCATTTTCTTTGATTTTTTAACAATGTGAGAGTGAGTGAGAGATTGATGCTTCGTTTGTGATAATTTGAAAGAAAAAAATTTGTACTAGAAAGCTATTTTAGAAAATAGTAAGAAAACTATCTCAAACGAAGCATGAATGAGAGAGTTATTATGAAGTCTGTAATGGGAGCCCATCGTAAGTATTGTTTCTTGAGAAAAAGTATGATCACATTTGTTGCAAGTAACACCATAATCT